AATTTAAAACCAGAAACGGTTAGAAAAAGATACAAACTCTCCCTTTATGTGCCTTGACTTTGCTCCCGATGCAGTAATATACATGTATGGTTTGATACAAAATCTTGCAGCTTGCGGTAAGTGCAAACTGAGGGTTTGCTGCCCATTCTGATTGGTCTGAATGTGATCATAGAAGCAAAGCATGCTTCTTGCCACCTCTGCTACTTTAGTTCTGATGGTGATAGCACAGCTTGCTCTTGATTTTGTGATCTTCCTGAGGGGAGCCTGGTTCATTTAGTGAAATACAGAATGACTCTTTCCCTGATACAGCAGGTACAAAATAGATTTCTGCTTGGAGGATACCCTGAGGTATGAGGTGTCTCATGGAGAACAAAACTTGCATAGATGGAGTTATTAATGCTGCAGCAGCTGAAGACAGAAGGGAGTTCACATGTAGTCCCTTAGGATTGAGAAATAACAATCGCTTTGCTACAAAGTCAGTTTTCCTCTGATGCCAGCATGATGCCAGCACTGGAGAGGCATTGAGGTGTAGTAGGAAGCCTTGCTTCGCATAAGCAGAACTAGACAGACTTGGCAGTGAAAACTGCAGTAAGGAGTGATGTTAATGGACACAGCAGTCACAAGGAAATGTGTGGTTGCCAATACGCTAGACTGCCCCAATTTGCTGCTGTTGCTGTTATCCATGGGTATGATGTAACTTGCAATCAAGCCAGAGTCAACATCTGTTTGGCAACAGCTTTTGATTGCACAGGCAGTGCCTGTGCCAGCAACTGAGTTAAGGTTGGGCTTGGAATAGCAGCACTAGAGAAAGCCCTGTAAGAGATTTTAAAGCCCTAACTCTCAAACCAAGTTCCTACTGAAATTTGCAGTACTCTTTAAGTAGTGGGGGCTCTTGGCCTGCCCAAAACTGCTGTCAGAGGATTCCAATATCCCTGCTTTGCCTGCTGTAGTTCTAGTCTGTAACGCACTTGCTTGAAAATGGCTTCAAGAGTCAGTACACTGAACAGTGAGTATTGAAGCCCTGCTGCCTGCAGCCAGGTGTGGTCTTCTGGGAACTGAGATAGCTGAAAATGTGCCTTCTGGCAGCCCACAGATGGGAAAGGGGCACTTTTAAACAGGGCTGTAGTTGGAACACTCACCGGGCAGAGGTAAGCTTCCCTTTCTGTTCCATATCCAAAAGCTCAGGTATCTATCTCCTTCATGAAAGGAGGCTCCAGACAGAGCTCATTCTCTCTGTTCAGGGCCTGAAAATTGTTTGTCTCCTTTCCAAATGTACTTTAAACATTAACTAGAATGATTAGATAAGAACTTCAGCTTTTGTTACAAAGAGCCTGATGTATGTATGAAGGAAAGCTTGACCAAGTTGGCAGTGCCATGTGCCTTCCACACCCCTTGTTGCAGCTATGTTTTTAAGCCAATCAGCTTTTGGGAGGTGTCAGTATACTCCATTCTAATATACTTGTAGGTTTCTTTTGTTACCCTGTTATGCAGATAGTGCTGCTGCTTCAGTCTTATCTGTCATGGCTGCAATATCCATGCAAGTGATGTGTCACACACAGAAGTAAAATACTTCTAAGTAGATAAAAACTTAACAAATTAGCTCATCTTCAAGCTGGATGTGCAGCTTTGAAAACTGTGGGGCAGTAGTGGTTTTTAGGATAACAGGTTGAGTCCAGAGGAGGGCCACCAAGATGCTCAGAGGGCTGGATCACCTCTCATATGGAGACAGGCTGAGAGATAGGGTTGTTCAGCCAGGAGAGAAAGCTCAGGGGAGACCTTAGAGCAGCCCCCAGTACTTAAAGGGGGCCTACAAGAAATCTGGAGGACTTTTAACAAGGGCATGTAGTGACAGGACAAGGGGTAATGGCTTTAGGCTGAAAACGGGAGATTTAGATCCAATACTGGACTGGGAAGCAGTTCTTCCCTGTGAGGGTGGTGAGGTGCTGGCACAGGTAGCCCAGAGAAGCTGAGGCTGCCCCATCCCTGGCAGTGTTCAAGGCCAGGTGGGTGGGCCTTGGAGCAAGCTGGTCTAGTGAAAGGTGTCCCTGCCCACAGCAGGGGTTTGGAACTGGATGAGCTTTAAGGTCCCTTCCAACCCAAACCGTTCTGTGATTCTAAGTTACACTTGATACAAGTGAATTTGCATATGGTGCTGGGAGAACAAAATGTTAATATAAGCAGTTAATGCTACTTGCATTGTCATAGCTGCATGCTTCCATCTGCTCTGCAGTGGGGAAAGGCACAAATGCAGCATTTACACTGTGCTTGTTATCATACAGTCTAGAATAACATGCTGTAATTAAGGGATTAAAAAGAAAAAAGTTTATTACTTTATGTGTTACACCATGAATAATACTGTTTACTAACATACACTCTAAAGAACCTTCTTGTTAGCAAGTGCTGCAGCTCGCTCTTCAGTGACTCGATGGGAAGCTTAACATGAGCTGGCAGTGTTTGCTCACAGCCCAGAAAAGCCAACTGTATCCTGGGCTGCATCAAAAGGAGCGTGACCAGCAGGTCAAAGGAGGATCCTGCCCCTCTACTCTGCTCTCGTGAGACCTCACCTGGAGTATTGTGTGCAGTTCTGGTGTCCTCAACATAAAAAGGACATGGAACTGTTGGAACAAGTCCAGAGGAGGGCCACGAGGATGATCAGGGGACTGGAGCACCTCCCGTATGAAGACAGGCTGAGAAAGTTGGGGCTGTTCAGCCTGGAGAAGAGAAGGCTGCGTGGAGACCTCATAGCAGCCTTCCAGTATCTGAAGGGGGCCTATAGGGATGCTGAGGAGGGACTCTTCATTAGGAACTGTAGTGACAGGACAAGGGGTAACGGGTTAAAACTTAAACAGGGGAAGTTTAGATTGGATATAAGGAGGAAATTCTTTTCTGTAAGGGTGGTGAGGCACTGGAATAGGTTTCCCAGGGAAGCTGTGAATGCTCCATCCCTGACGGATTTCAAGGCCAGGTTGGACAGAGCCTTGGGTGACATGGTTTAGTGTGAGGTGTCCCTGCCCATGGCAGGGGGGTTGGAACTTTACGATCTTAAGGTCCTTTCCAACCCTAACTGTTCTATGATTCTGTGACTCCAGGGCAGCTCAAAAACTGACCCTATAGAAACCATACACTGTACTGTATACAGGGCTTGTGAAAGATGTCAGAGCTAGCCAAGATAGGTCACACTCCTGTTTTAGTTGCACAACAGGTAGGTTTTCAAGTCTAGTTTCTTGAAAGAACATTGAGAAGCCTATTGCACCTGCTAAAGGGAAAGGAGCAGTGCAGCTCAGGGCACATTCACAAGGCTGTTCTCCCTGATCCCATGTTGCAGAGCTGTGTGCCAAGGAAAAACTTACTTGCAAGTAGCTCCCTGTCACTTGGCAGTGTTGGGCAGTTAAGAAAGCATTAGCCTGCAGAAGTCTCCATACTGAGGGTAAGCAGCATAACTTCATACAGCAGTCTCCCAGGCAGTAAACCTGATTAATACTCTGGTGGCAAGATCCTCTAATTCGTGGCTAATGAAAGGCAACTGGAGATGAACACAGTGCTTTTCTATTAAGCTCTCCTAGAAGATTAGTATTTGTTGGTATATCTGAAATACAAAGTTTGCTAGCAGTGTAAGTGTGGATACTAAAAGAAAAGAAAAAATAAAAATACTACATTACAGACTACTACCAGCACTAGTTTGGATTTTAAACACACAAGAATATTAAATTTGCATTCAGCCATCTTCATAGTGCCAAAAGGAGGCAAAACTGGTTGCATGGAAACTGTATTGCTACTCCTTCAGCTATTTTGAAAAGTTATGGTGTTAACTGTTAAATATGTGAACTGAAACACAACACAAATCAAGATCAAATGAAGATTTTGAACATCAGAAAGAAGATGCTGAAGATGCTTTTGCCACACCAGGCTATAGCAAAAGGCTTAAAGGCTAACACCGAAGACCACCCCACTGGTTTACACATAGCTGCATTAACCCTTGCTCTTTGCAAGTGATGGCAAAGAACCTGGCCAGAGCAAGCATTAATAATACTAGACTATAAATCAATGACTCATTCTGCTTTATTTTTTGTGCTTCTCAGACAAGATTTTCCAGAAATACTTTCTACATGTTTTTCCCTTATTTCTCAAGAACTTGTGAAACATGGGTAGGCTGCCATCTGGTAAGCCAGCAGCATACCAGCCTTCCCCGGGCTTCTTTGCCTGTAACCCAGGCTGTGTTTTATCATTACAGAGTTTGAGTTCCACTTCATAACTTAACAGTAACTAAGTGGCACACTTTGGTACACGTGGACTGCAGTCAAAAATATCTGCATAATATTTCTTCCCTCCCTTTCTTTGTTTCCATTTTCGAGGAGAAATAAAACAAACCAAGCCCAAACAAAAACCAACCAAACTACAACCACAAACCCTTCCTTCAGTTCTGGTACACAGAAATTAGTCTCCAATAGCAGAGCTTGCATTTGGGAGAAGCAATACAAACCCTTCTATTGCTACCAGGATATTTCGTCTCCATAGCAGTAGCCTACGCACTTGCCTGGGGGTAACCTTCTGGTATACCCCATACCATTCCCTTGCTGCTCTGAGGTGAGATTCTATAATCAAACCATCTTACACCTCTTGCTGAGTTTTACAGAAGCTTGAAACCTTTCTTCACACTGCCTTGAAAATCTACAGGTATACTCTCAAGCTGCCATTGGCCCACCATGCAAACTACAGGCGGCTTTTGATTAAAATCAGCACATCAAGAGCAAGACAGGGTGTGCATGGGGGGGGAATTCCTTTCACCCCAGCATTGATTTAGGCCATTACCAGTGCCTTGGAAGCTTCACTACTCCTAGCAAGACTATGTAGCAGGTCAGAGATCATTACTGGAATCAGTACTTACAGAGCAATACAAAAACCAGCTCTTCTCACCCCAGGAAGAGGGTTGGGACCCTCTTCTAACACACTGCCTGCTGTGAAACCCCAGGGATGTTTCCAGGTTTGTCTGGTGACAACACAGATATAACTCAGTTCCTGGGGATGGGTGGTTACATGCCTGACATCAGAACTGCCCCTAAATGAAAGTTTAAGCAGCAGTGGGTTAGCGCTGTCCAAGCACGTCAGGCTTTTTAAAGCTACCAGCAAAAAGTAAAGTGCTTGCACTAGAACAAACAACATAGCTTAAAAGGGTCAAATCAAACAGAGCTCTGGTGCAAACTTATCTTCTGACACAGCCAGAAGCATCACTTAAGGAGATAATAGAAGGCAGTAATTTCTACAGTTCTCTTTGGTTAAGGCAAGGGCTGACAGCTCCCTGAGTCCTCCCAGCTCAGAAGATTGTGTTAAAGTATCAGCTGCCATGTTCAAAGCAGCCTGTGCTACCAACAGAAACAATCTCTGAAGATGCTCACCAGCTAAATTGCAAAGTAGAGATATCAAGAGAGATGGCTCAAGGCCACATAGCACGCTCTCATCACTTGAGTAAAGTGAAATCAAACAGCCTCAGAAGAATGATGACTTCCAAGTTCTTTCTGAAATCTCTCTTCAACACGGGCACTGGCTCTTCTCCACACTTGGACTGGCAATCACTGGCCTGGAATCTAGATAGATGCTGTTTGGAGGGTTCTCTCCATGAAGCTGTAAGGTATTACGGGCTATTAGCTCCTTGGCCATTAGCATGAACACCTCCTCTATGTTTTGAGCTTCTTTAGCCGATGTCTCCAGCACAGCTAAGAGCCCATGCTTCTCCGCCAGTGTGCAGGCATCTTCAAACAGGACTTGGCGCTTATCCAGTGAATCCGATTTGTTCCCTTAAAAGAAGGAAAATACATAATTCAATAACTTAGTTTCTCAACAAATTAATCTTTAAATGCAATAAATTAATTCAGTTTTGTTAAGCAATAGATTTACGTTAAGAATGGAAGTTACTGCAAAAAAAACTCAACAAAACAACCAACAACCAAGATGTAAGCCACAAACAGAATGTGGATCAAAACTGCAGCTAGCAAATAAGTTAAAATCCAAACAAAACCTAAACCCCTGTGTTTATCTACTTACTTGCTGTAGGCAGTGATGCCAGAGGATTATTTGGAAGCAACTTTTGGTCCCTATCCCCTAGTGTTCTTAAACATTAAGTAGCTTTTAACTTAGATACTAAAAAATATAGAAATCTTGTACACAGCAATGTGTACACAGCAAACCAAAGCTGTGATTGTACACAGCAAACCAAAGCAATTTTGCATGAAGGTTTATTCCTCGCTCAACCTTCAGTGGAAGCCGCATGTGTTATGCTATTGTCAAGCCACCCTAATTCATCTCAAGGTGGGTGCTCAGCTCCGAAGATCTGCAATGTTGTTAGCCTAAAGCAGATCTCCTCCCCCCAGAAAGCCCCACTAAACTCCAGAAAGAGCCTGGCTAACTTAATCAGATTTTAACATGACCTGTTTATACACATCAGCCATGGATTATGTCAAAAAAGACAAGCATTCACACCAGCCACCATAATGCTTAAAATATATACTTACTAAGTTTCCACATGTCTAAATTTAACTTTCACTTGAAGCAGTTCAAATCCGTCAGAGGTCATGAAACACCTCAGATAAAATACCTTTGCCTATTTAAGCAGCTGCAGCACATATGAAATTATCATCAGTTCTGGTACATGCAGTACCTGGCTGAAGTCTACATTCACAGTTTCAAGACAACCCTTCATCAAATTCAAATCTTGAATTTGAATATAAGCCAACTCCCTTCCCATTAAGTCCCTTTGTTTTTCTAAAAGGAAAAGAAACCAAAACATCAACCCACCCCAAAAAACACATCTTGCTTGAGGGTTATTTGCCTTCTTAAAAAGATTCCCAACCTCCTTTCCTCCTTCAGTTCCAGATGGGAAAGTTGGACTTCATGCTAGAAAGTTAACCTCATGCTAGAAAGGTGTACAACATGACTGTGTGTAATGAAACATACAAAGACTTCCTGCCACAGTAAGTAAAGCACCAGCTCTGGAAGAAAGCACCAAGCTGGATCCTTGTTAAAAAGCTTCATTTTTACCAACTTCAGACCTTCTTTCTTAAAAGAAAAATAACAAATCCTACCACCGTCAATCCTCACAATACACACAGGTAGGTCTTACTCTTCAGCTTAATGAGAAGAGTTAGAAAAGCCCTACCAAAGTTATTTATTCCCCCACCAACACCTCTTGACTCATTCCAAGCACTGTGGTTACATGCAGGTCAGGGTTTGTTGTTTGTTTTTGCAGAGGAAGAACAGGAAGAACTACCACAGCACAGTAATCTGCAAGGAGCACAAGCAGATGCTTAGGACCCATGCCAGCTGTGCTGCGGGGCTCGGCTGCCTGTCTCCAAAAGCTGGTTTGGGCTGCTGTGGCTGCGCGTGCTGCTCTCGGCACAGTGCCACAGCAGAACAGGCAGAAGCAGGGGAATGTAAATAAAGGTTCTGTCATTTTACTACACCGGTTCTCTCACTTGCAGCTTCTTCCATGGGGAGGGAAGAGCAATAACAACTTGAAACACAAAGGGAAAGAACCACGCTGCTTCCTACAAGCTCCATTCCCAGCAGCTCCTACCCACTCCTTTCCTGAAGGGGCAGAGCTTCCTGAATATAGTGGAGGAAACAAGGAGGAGCAATGCAAGCAGACTACTTCATGCTCTGCAAAAGCCATGTCCCCAGTCTACTGTCTTACCTGATCAGAGTCCCATTACAGACCAATGCGCAGGCTTATCAAAAGAACAGAGGAAAGATGAGAACTAGGAGTTGTGTTGCTCTGTGCATTCCCCTTCCTGAATTATTGAGCTGCTAAATTCCTGCACATCAGGAGCATAGGGTAAAGCTCACTGCAACTCCAACCTAAATTCAACCTAATTCAACCTCAGAGTTGTCCTTGCTTGCTAGATTAGCAAGCTTGTTGTATTATTCCAGCAAGAAAGAAACAAGGAAAAAGGTTTCACTGTACTATGAGCTTGGTCCTGCTGTGACTTTCCTCATTTTCTTTAAGCTCAGGACAAACTGATACACTTTCTGATCTCTTTTAATCAAAACTGCATTCTTCTTTAATGCGTAGTTTATAGAGGCTTCAAGTAGTGGAGGAAAAGCGAGGCGGATTTTACACACATATTAAAAACTACATAATGTAATATCTACAATTAGATTCCTACCAATTAACATCATGACCAAGTTTGCAGCACCATATTTTTCAATTTCATGAATCCAGTGAGGAATGGATTCAAATGTGGACCTCCTAGTAAGGTCATAGGCAAGGATGGCCCCATGGGCACTCCTGTAATAAGACTGGGTTATTGTCCGGAAGCGTTCTTGACCAGCTGTGTCCCACACTTGGATCTGTAAGAGAAAGGGTGATAGTTGTAAAGACAAGTGAATACTGCTTCCTTGGTGTCTGCCATCACTAGCTATGCTTTGGAAACCCCTTGTCTAGAAGGCAGCTAGACCTGTCCCAGCTCACTCCATTACACCACAGTAGTGACTTCGCACTCTCTACATCTCTACAATGAAGAGACATTTACATGCCTGTAAAGACGATCCAACCAGACCAAAGGGAAAGCTGCAAGCTTTTGCAAACTCAACTTTGTAAAGAGACCAAGAAACTCAGTTTCAACAACTGTACTAAAAGATACAGAGTGTTACAGCCTTATAATAGGCAAGGAAGAAAAGCTAAGAAGCTCTGATGCAGGGCTGGGCAGAACAAAGCCATATAAAGGGCAGGCATCTGAATTCTCATCCGCACATAGAGGCAAGTTGTAGATAACAAATTCTTCTGGTGTTTGTCTTACAAGTCTTCATCTTCCGTCAAATCAAGTACACTCCAAAGCAGAGCTTTGCAAAGTAGAGGGGTTTCCCTCCTCAGTGTCCCAGTCCAGAGGAGGGCCACTGAAGGTGCTCAGAGTGTGGGCGCACCTCTCCCATGAAGACAGGCTGAGAGGAGCTGTGGCTGCCCTTGGAAGCGCTCAAGGCCAGGTTGGACGGGGCTTGGAGCAACCTGGTCTAGTGAAAGGAGTCCCTGCCCATGGCAGGGGGGTTGGAACTGGATAAGCTTTAAGGTCCTTTCCAACCCAAACCAGTCTATGATTTCCGAGTGAAGGAAGAGACACTCCCTTCAAACCAGAGCTGGCTTTCAAAAAACTATCTCCATAGAGGCAAAGCATGAGCCCTCTCCAAAGACAGATCCAGAAAAGCCGCAAGAGTGAGTATGTACCAGCTTAGGGTGAGTGTACCGAGTCAGTGTGACTGCCTCCCCCAGGGGATCCTCCCACGGGAAAAGATCCCCCCGGAAGCACCCCTGGCCAGCATGAAACCCAGCTCTTGCTACTGCCTTCAGTGGGGCCGGGCGGGAAGTGCTGCAGTCCCCCCAGCCCCTCACCTTCACTTTCTTGCCGTCGATGTCCATGGAGCGCACGGTGAAGTCTACGCCGATGGTGTTCTGCTGCTTCTCGTTGAACTGCCCCGTCTTGAAGCGGTGCACCACGCACGTCTTCCCCACGTTAGAGTCCCCGATCAGGATGATCTTGAAGAGGTAGTCGAAGGCATCGTCCGCGCTGGAGCTGGGGAAAGGCATCGCGGCTGCCGGGCGGGCCGAGGTGCGGCAATGAGAAGGACCCCAGCTCCGAGGGCCGCAGAAGGAGCCCTGTCCCGGCCGCTGCCCGCTCACCTGCTGGCGCTGCCCTGCCAGGACAGGTACCGCCCGCTTTGCACCGCCCCGGCCCTCTCGGGGCCGGCGGGAGATGTAGTTTTCGCCTTCCTCCGCCCGCCCTGCCCCGCAGGCTCCGCCGGGCACCGGTGCGGCCGTCGCTCGCTCCGCGCGCTGCCAGGCGCGGCAGCAGGCGAGGGGCCCGGCTCGCCCGGGTCACAGCCGCAGTGCCCGGGGGGGCGGCAGCGGCGAGGGGCCGCACTACAGCTCCCGCCATGCCCCTGGGCCCGCCTGCCGGAAGAGCCGCCTCCCTCCTACGACTTCCTGCGGGCTGTGCCGGTCGCTGGGCTCGGTAAGCGGCGAAGGGGGGGGGTGTGTGGGGTATGCGTGCTGCTGTCCCGGGGCAGGAGGGGTGCGCTACGCTACGCTGCTCTGCGCTGCAGGGCTGGCGGATGGCTGTGGTGGGCTGGCGGTCTCGGTGGAGCCGCGGCGTGCCCTGCTGCTGCCGGCTCAGCGGGGCTCCCCTCCCCACCCCGCCCCGCTGAGGACGTGGCCGCCGGGCCACCCGCGGGGTTTCGCTGAGGGGAAGAACCCGTGTTCTCATCGTCTGCCTCGGTGCTTCAGCGGGGGAACCGGCCCGGCCGCGCCCCGCCCCGCAGCCGGCCTCAGGTGAGCCGTGGCCGCCGGCGGGAGCGCGGCCTGCGCCCGGGGCTGCGCCGCTTGTCCCGCGTCTCTTCCGCTGGAGCTACCCGTAGCGTAGTGCTCGGATCGACTCGGTGCTTGGAGCAGCCCCATGTCCTCCCAAGCGGCATACAGCTGGGGCTTCGGGGTGATTTCCTAGGGGAACCCTAGGAATGCGAATTCTGGGCTTCCCTGGCGGCTCTGGAGGACGGCAGAGTGGTATTAAGGAGGTTTGTTTTGAACTTAAGGTGTCTTATTTTGAGCTGAAGTGAAGGGATAAGGAAGAATTTGGAAAGCTTAACAAAGCTTATACAAAGTATCAGCTGGAGGTAGATAGTGCTAAGCAAGCAGATGAGCTGTCTAGAACTGCCTGGAAAGCAGTTCTCTTCCTTTTTTAGAGGCTTGTGGTGCTCTGCCTTGAGTTCTGTGGTTTATCCTTCCTCCTGGTTTTCGTTCCTTCTCCTCCACTACAAATTTAATGTGGTATTCTCAGTGTAATTAGAAGGCTCATTTGTAAGGATAAACCCCTAGTTGCACGCTGCTCTAGCCTAGGGAGAGTGCCAGTTTTGAATGTGAAAAGGGCAAAATGAAGAAAGAAAAAAGAAATCTTTTGTAGTTATCTTTACACTGACCATAAGTGGGAAGTGTCATCCTGTTCCTGAAGGTCGTCTAGAAAGCAAGCTGAGATTGAAAAGCTCTGAGGAGCGGGTAATTTCAATAGTAAATGCTATTAAAGAAAAAAAAGGGTGACTTTAAGGTCAAACTTGGGTCTTAGCTTTAAAGAGACTCGGTATCTTGGACAAATAAGATCTATGTTTGCATATGTTGACATAAAGCAGGTGGTAAATCTTGTGCTCCAGGCTGTGGCCTGGTTACCCACGGAAGGAACTTTTCCTGCAGCGTTGCACAACTGGCTGTGTTCTGCTTTCCTCAGAAGAGCTGTGTTACTGGCTGTTGCCTAGTGGGAGCCGAGTGAGAGCCAAGGAAAGAGAATGAGCTCTTGTGTCTGGTGAAACTGTGGTCCACAGGCCTGCAAGGACTGTGATGCTGGGCAGTTGGAGTGCCTGGGGTTCCTCTCTCTTCTTCATGCTGCTTGTGTGGGCAATCGCCCCAGGCAGTTTTATTGCTGCCATGTGATACTTCTGGGGGTGCTGAGTTTTCATTCACTGGTGTTGAGAAATGGTCTGGGACCTTAGATGGAGGTAGTTTCCAGGCTACATACAAAGTTGCCTTTTCCAGGGCCAGCCTTGGCTTCTCATGGTTCCAGATGTAGGTGCTTTTTCTTTCGCTCTCTGTGAACCCATGCAGTCTAGAAGCATGTCCTTTGGTGCTGGCACACCTAGGTGGTCTGTGCTCGCTGGAGCGATGAGAGCGTGGCTGAAATGCACTCGGGCTGTGTGGATGCAGGTGGTCTCAGATCTTGTACAGACTTGCTGCATTTGTCCTGCGTGAGAATAACGTGTTCAAGTCTAGCATGGGATAAATGGGACTCCAGTGTCTCAAAGGTGTAATGGCTGAATCCATATTACTCGGAGGATTTCCATGCCATACTCTGTTTTGGAGGTTGGATCATAGAATCATAGAATTGTTTGGAAGGACCTCAAAGATCATCCAGTTCCAACCACCTGCCATGGGCAGGGACACTTCCACTAAACCAGGTTGCTCAAAGCCTCATCCAGTCTGACCTTCAACACTTCCAGGGGTGGGGCAGCCACAGCTTCTCCAGTGGTGGTTAATATATCCAGTCGTACTTGGTATATGTCTGTCGGTCACACATGCATCGTCATTGATGGAACAGAAAAGGAAGACTTCTTGCAGTGGAAGCTGTCTTGATGAAACCTTTAGGAGTTATAAGAAGGAAGAGCAGAAAGTCCCTGTGACATGCAGGGTTTTCAGCAGCAGAAATTTGGATAAGAGAAAGCCTGGGCAATGACTTTGAATTTCTGCAAGTGAGGTTTTGAAGCTGAACTCCAAAAGTCTTGTGCAGATTCACCAATCATTACAAGCAGTTCCTGTGGATACAAAAGAACACAAAGGCATTATGTTCCATCTTATTTCAGCTCTAATTCTTTGGGGGAACACAGGTGGTGCATCGTTTTAGTTCTCAGCATTCAGAATGTGTGAGGTGTCTGAATGTCTTCTGAAAATGCAGTTCCCACCAGCTGACTTGTGGAACTGTTTTAAGCCAGGTTGCATTAACAAAATTGGGTTCTGCCTTCAGCAGTGATGCTATTATAGAGCATATCTTTCTCTGCACTGTTCTCTGTTGCACGGACACAAGTGTTTTTGTAGTTGCTTTGTGAGCCGTGGCAGAGAAATCTGGCTGAAAAGATCCCTGCCAAGAAAACAAAAGGGAGGCATGAAATGATCCCTCAGCCATGCCAGCACAGCTGAGGGAGTGCAGTAGTGTGGGGTGAGCCAGCACTAAGAAGCTCTGTGCCTGTATCATAACTTTTCCTCAGTACCGATAATTTCTGATGTATAGCAGCTTGGGCAGATGTCACCCATGCCCTACAGGTAGTATGACTTGCCACATGCTGAACTTACTGAATTAGTGACAGATGGAGCTTTAATGTAGGGCTTGAGAATGAGCAGGCAGGGAGACTAGCTGTTGGATTTCAGCACAGTCCTCACAGTTGCCTTCCTTTCTTCCGCTGTGCAAGTCCACTCTTGAGTATATTCTTTCAATGACATCTTAAAGAGGCAGTTAGATCCAAAACTATTCTCTACCAGTAACCAAATGCTCTTCTCTTGACTTCATCACCAGGCCATAGCCAGCCAGGCAGCAATGGGAGGTTACCTTATTTAAGACTACTCCACAGTGTACTGCAGATGTAAATGGTGTGGAATGGTCTTTAACATGAGAGCACTAGAAATGGATAGATCTTGGGGGAGCTCCTTGGTGATGGACACTGAAGAGGCATCCCCCAAGGAAATGGATTGAAGGATAGCCATGAGGGTACTGCGAGAGTGGGAATAAAAACACATTTCGGGGCATAGAATGTGTCAAGGAATGTGTAGGTGATGAGATGAGTAGTGATGCGAAACAAATCGGGAAGGAATGGCATAGAGTGTTCCTGCTGAATCCCAGCTCCTTCGGGAGCACGGATGTATTTTTATACATGAGTGTTAATTCAAATATGTTTTCTTTTCTCTTCCTTTCCCATCTTCTTCTGCTTAAGTGAGAATAAAAATGACCTAAGCATCATCCAGCCTTTGTGGCCGGGGCTGCCAGGAGCATGGCTTTGCCTGGAAGCTTACGGAGGCAGCCTGCAGACAGAGGCCTTGTGTCCCACTGCACCCACCATCATATTGTTGTGTTCCTGCTGACCTTCTTCAGGTAGGTTCTGCGTATTTCTGCTCAGAGAAGTGTTCATCTCACTGAATTTTGGGAGGGGAGGTCAGGGCATGTCTGAAGGTGGAGAATGAAGATGGGAAAATAGTCTCAACCTTTGGCTGTGAGCCTTGAAAACAAGCTTAAAAGACAGTAGTACCAACTGGTCTGGTTGTCATGTAGTTGTGAAGTGTGCTATGCCCCTGGGGAATCCAGCCACAAACAGGGCTTGCACCAAAGGTGAGGTTGATTGTGCCGAGCCAGTAGCACTCTGTTGCAGAAGGGTGAATGCAGGTGGGTGTGAGGAGGAGCTAGCTGAAACAAGGAAGGAAGCAAATGCTGATGCTCAGAACACGTTTAATACCTGTTCTGACTGATGGAATATGCTGTAATTGCTTCTGGGGTCCTCTTCTCTCCTGAAAGTACTATTTGCAGAGGGTGGACAGACTCTAGAGCAGAGAAGTCACTGCTTCATACCTGAAGGTTTGCTAGATTTGTTTGTTGAAAGCTTGTCTGTTACACCAGCTGACAACAGCTGGGATACTATACTGCCTCTCCTTACAAATGTTGCCTTGCTGATATCCTTTGATCTTCACAACAATACTGCCAGTGGTACCTAATTGGTCTCTGGAAGAGAACTTGTAATGGTGGTTAGCCAGATGAGCATAACTTCTTTTGTTGCCCAGTCACCTCCTTTTTTGAAAATAAAAGAGGAGATCCTTTCTGGCCATGACCCTATTTCACAACTCCCCAGAAAAATCAGTGTGCCTGCCCATAATTTGAGGGTTCCTGCTGCTGACTATATCTCCAAAATTGACAGTCCTCTGCTATGCTGTCTGCTTAGACAGCATGTATCTGTATTTTGAGTTCTGTCCTTTCCCACTTGACCTCAAGAGATCATTTAGCCAACCTGTACTTGTGTGTTTTCTGGCAGCTACTCCTTGCTCCATGCTTCCAGAAAGACATTCAGTAATGTCAAAGTCAGCATTTCCAGCCAGTGGACTCCCTCCTGCCTGAACACCACAGCCCCTGAGCTCCAGCCATATGAGGTGAGAACACAAGCGATAGGCAAGTACGAAGAAAGGTGGGTAACTTCCAGTATGCTGAGCTTGTGGTGCTGAGGAGGCCCCTTTAAGCATCCATCAGGGACACTGCTTGGAATGTGAGCAGGAATTTCAGGTGTCTGATCTGTAGTTTTCTGGATCATCAGGTGATGGTAAAATCTTTCCTAGTGGTCTCCAGAGAGAAACTTCTTGAGAAGTTTGTGTTCCAATGGAAATGGGGACCCCAGCAGAGGCTCTACAGTAGCCATCAGCATGGAGAAAGGAGAGGAGAGGGAGCGAGGGACCCTGCCTCTGAAGTGTTGGAGGCAATAAATGAGCAGTTAATGAGCTTACAGAGATCGCTGTAAAACCCTGGCTGTGCCTTTCTCTTTGGTGATGCTGCTGCTGCCACCATGTTAAAAGGATAGCCAGAGTAGGAGAGAAGAAAACTGTCTGAAAGTGCTAGCTGCTTATCCTAAATTGATACTGCAGAATGCATCTAAAAGTTCTGATTTCCAAAATGCTGAACACCCAGCATGCCTTGTCTGGAAAATCTTGGCTTCAGTGGAAGTAGTGGGAGTTTTGGCACCGTTTGCTCACAGGAGAGGAAGTTGTATACTGCTTGTATCTCACAATGGGAACGCAAGAATTACTGCCTGGCTCCTGCCCACAGTCCTTTTAGGGACATGCTTGTTTTTAGCAGTGGCTTGTCCCAGTGCTTTTGGGGAGTGGAAGAACTCTTACATTAACAGCTTGGTCACAGCTCTGTTAGAGCAGGGAGTTCCAGGTCAGCTGCCTGGGTGTTGTCTGCGTTAGAAATCATTGGTTATTTGAATGTTTGACTGAGGGATGGGAAATGCTCGCTTTCTGTGGGAAGTGAAAACAGTAAATTGGATCTGCATTGTGTTTGGGATTCTCTAGTATGGCAAAAAGGAATGATCATCTCGGGGATGCAAAAAGTGAGCTACAAGGTGTTTATATTTAGTTCCTTAACTCACATTCAAACTATTAGTACATTTTGGAAGGTTTTTTTTCTAATATAGATAATTTAGTGTTTTCTGGCTGTTGAGGTGCATGTATCTGATCAAGAAAAATGATCAAAGTGGTCCTTTTGGTATGAATTTAGATTATATCAATTCACAGTAAAGTGTGTTTTAGGGAATGGATAAATCAGATTAAGGATATGAAGAGAGAAGTTGCATGCTATCAGTTTTGAACTTTGGCATATCTTTTAAACTACAGTTGTTCTTTATAGTTAAAAATATTTTTTAAGTATAACAGAATGTTTTGCAATAGTTTTGTGAGCAAGCCATAGTATGATTTTGTTAGAAGGACAACTAGTGCTTTTCAGCCTTTAAGGGTTTGTTTATTTTCTAATGGGGGTGTGGTATTGGGGAAGGAAAACCTTGTCCTGATAGATTCATATCAACCTCAAAGCTTGCTATTTTCAGCTGATGTTGCTAATCTTAGTTTGGGGACAACTGAGTCTTTTTCCCTTTCTTTCCTCATCATATTGAAAGTAAAATGAAACTCAGGGTGAGCCCCAAAAGCCCCTCTAAACTACTGACTGTAGTTCATTGTAAAGAGTTTCCATCCAGTCTTTTTCTTCCACTTGTTCCTTTTGTGTTCTTTCTTTTCTGTTCATGGCCTGTCATTTCTTATTATGGTTGGGACCACAAGTACTTTAAGGGAATTATTCATTTAGCGAAGACAGCAAGATAAGCACAGAAGAGACACTTCACAGAAAACACAATATGCCTTTATTGTATTATTCATGAAGATGCTCATCAGTGTTTCTGTGTAAGAAGCTGTCTAACAGTTGCATGCTTGATAGAAGTAAGGTTTGTTTTGCCAGCCATTTGTCTTGATCCAGGTGGAACAAGCATTTCTTGATTCTGGTTGGCTAGTTTTCCTTTTAGGAGCGAAATGAAGTGACAGTTGACGTTTTTTTCAGTAGATAATGACATAATTGTTCTTCATTTGATAATTAAAGTGTTGAAAGAATGGGAGGCTGCTGGGGCCAGATGCTGTGCTGGTGTGGAGTTGGGGTTTCTGTTGAAAGAGTAAAATGAGCTATGCCTCTCAGCGTTTACCTGTTAAAATTTTCTCTCTGTAGCTCTGGAACAGCAGCCATTTATTTCCAAATGCAGAAGAAGCAACTCTCTTCTTGGGGACGTTGGACACTATCTTTTTGTTTTCCTATGCTGTGGTGAGTAAAAGTAACCCAAAACTGCTAAGCTTTGGTTGAATCTTACGGGGATGATTGCACCCAGATTTGGAGGGGATGAACAGGATCATCTTCCTGGACTTGCCAGCACTAATACAGTTAAAAAGCTTAGTTCAGAGCTTGTTAGTTCTGCCTGTGCCTGTCACCTGTGTGAAGATGATTGTTAACAAATGCAAGAGAAATACTGTCGCTTCAGAACTTCTCACCACCCTGTCACCGGTGGATGGGAGGGTTCTGTCTCTCCAAGAGTTCTCAGCTGAATTTTTTAAAAATAAGAAATTTAATGAACAGCTATGAGCAAGATTTCCAGGGTGGCAGAAGTGGTTAGAATCAAACTAAGTTGGTATAACAACAACGTTTGGATCAGCTTGACCCTTCTACACCATTTTAACTCTTGCAGATAACAGATACAAATCTTGTGCCTTTATTTAATGCTGTATTTTTTCGTAGGGTCTCTTTGTCAGTGGTATAGTTGGTGATCGCCTGAACTTACGCTGGGTTTTGTCTTTTGGCATGTGTTCTTCTGCTCTTGTGGTAAGTCGAAACATACTAGTGTGATTTTGAAACTAGGGTTTCTGGATAGGATTTTACTTCAGGGGAGAAGAGGCTCTGTTTCTGTGCAGGTCTGCCTAAGCTGTAACTGTACCTCAGTGGTTTCAAAGTCTGTATGTAAACCTTTGTCCTGGAGGCGCTTACTGAATTGTCTAAAGCACAGAGCTACACTACATGACTCACCTCTTCCTGGAATATCTGTTTATGGATACTGTGTCAGAAGGAAATTCCAAAGCTTGAGACACTGTCTAGAGACTTGATTAACAGCTTTTGCACAAGAATGGTGTGTTGGGACTGTTTTGTATTATAATTGTTCTCCCAGCCCACATATATTGTCATCAAGGTTTTTGCTTCCAAACACAATCTTTGCTGTCTTTCTTAAGGGACATACTAACAATAGTAAGCATTCATTTACTTATTTTGTAATTGCTGGGAGGGCATGTGTCAAAAAAGAATGTCCACTTAAAACAAGAGGTTTCTTGAGGTCCAAGCCACTGCAGATAAGTGTGAAGCAGTTTTATCTCATTGTGGTTTTCTGGTTATTAAAGTAGTGGTAAGACGTTGGAGTGCTTTTGATTTACCCAACGGCTACAAACCCCACTATGGCTTATTGTGTTCTGCAAACACATGACCACAAACATGCATCAAGTGCAGTGTGCCACAAAGTGTGTTTATTTTGGCTAGTTTAGGTTAGGGCTCTTAGTTATTTGAGACCTAGCTGTAGTATTTCTGTCAAATTTTGCTAAGATAAATGGCCACTGAGGGTTTTGTGTTTGCATGGAGGCTTGTGAAGTTGGATGTCAGTACAATAGCAGATCAGATCAAGAGGCTACTCTATTTTTAGTGTTGTTACTGGAAGTATTTGTCTCTTTCTTCACCACTCCTGTTAAAACTGTGCTGTTTACAAAGATAAAAGGCTTCTGGAGTGGAAGTGCCGTGACAGCACATTTGTCTCTGGAGGTGTTCCGGCTCTGGAGTGAGTGCTGTGCTGGGTCACCAGAGGGTGCTGTTACCCCTGAGCCGTTTCTTACACAATGCCAGGCTCCCTCTGGGCTGGCCTGGCCACTTCGGGGCACCTTCTCCTTGAAATGTTACTTCTTTTTTTAGGACCCCGCTCCTGCCTGGCTTTCAGCAGTAGCCTCGGGGTCTTCCCTGTTGGTTTTTAAGTTGGTTTGGTTTTGTTTTTTTTCCCCCTCCTCTCTAGGTGTTCTTCTTCGGCACACTTACAGAATGGTTGCATTTCTACAACAAGTGGTTCTACTGCTGTCTCTGGGTTGTGAATGGCTTACTGCAGTCCACTGGTTGGCCCTGCGTGGTTGCTGTCATGGGCAATTGGTTTGGAAAAGCTGGGTAAGTGGAGTTTTCTTCAGTGACTCACTTGTCTGACCCACTGAGTAGTAGATAGAGCTGACTCAAACCAAAAAGGCCAACTGTTAGGTCAGAATTAGAATTATGTGGGATGAATCATCATCATTGAATGGTTTGGGTTGGAAGGGACCTCAAAGATCATCCAGTTCCACCCCCCCACACACCACAGACAGGGACACCTTCCACTAGACCAGGTTGCTCAAAGCCCTGTCCAACCTGGCCTTGAAAAATGCTGGGGATGGGGCAGCCACAGCTTCTCTGGGCAACCTGTGCCAGTGTCCCACCACCCTCACAGGGGAGAATTTCTTCTAATATCTAATCTAAATCTCCCCTCTTTCAGTTCAGAACCCTCCCCCCTTCTCCTATTACTACATGCCCTTGTACAAAGTCTCTCTCCAGATTTTCTGTAGGTCCTCTTTAGGTACTGGAAGGTTGCTAGAAGCTCTCCCTGGAGATTATGCTTTTCTTGTGACTATTATCTCTCTTCCCTGGAGCCCCAGAACAGCTTGGTGTGGAGAACATAGTTATGTGTTAAAGGCACAAGTTCAGTCTTCAAAAGTATCATTACAGAGTGTCTGAATTTGAATTTTCATGACACTGGGAAACCTCTTTCTGTTTATGTACTATTGAAGAGACTGAATTGAAATTGACTCCTTGTAGGTTCAACTGTGTCGCTTTGGGGTACTGCAGATATGCTGTAGCTATAGCTTGTAACTCAGTTGTTGGCAGCTCATCTCTGCTGTAACGCAAGTGTTTCAGGATAGGACATTCCTCCCTTATCTATTTGGAACCTCCAAGTTATTCTGTGTTTTGTTTTAAATGACCTTTGAGTCTTCTTGGAGTGGACTGGGAGAATGCTGTAACTTTATTCTTTAGTTAAAGTTTATTCAAATGTTTTACCTTCATCTTGCTCCTAATGTCACCTCTCCCTGTGTTGCCTTTTCAAATTTCTTCCCCCTCTGCAGAAGAGGTTTTGTGTTTGGACTCTGGAGTGCCTGTGCATCTGTGGGAAATATCCTTGGGGCATTCCTTGCCTCCTGTGTTCTCAAATACGGCTATGAGGTAGGTATTGCTGTCTGGCTTCTAGCTGGGACTGCATGTCTGACTGGGTTGTGAGAGACTAGTTGCTTATGCTGTCTCTGAGAGATAAGAGGCTCAGAGTGCCCAGTTTCATCATCCTGAATTCTGTGGTAGCAAGCAGGGTATTCCTTTCCCTTCCAGGTTGGGAAAAATGAGTCTGATATTTCTTTGTAAACGGGACTGATGTTATTGAAAAGCCCTACTGTCATAGTAGACCTTCTTCTAATTTGGGTAGCTTGAAGTGCTCTTCAGAGTCATCCATCACAGGTTCTCACTTAACTGATGTCACTGCCACTGAATAGTGGTGAGGTTCTGACAGGTATGGAGGCATAGCTTCTGTAACTGAGAAGAATCTAGCAGTAAATTGCTGTAATGCAGCAGGCAGGCAATTGAATGAAGGGAATGTAAGTGAACCAGCACATCTTGAAGCCTGTGACCTGTGAGGACAGGCAAACAGAGCTGAGCTTGTCACTCTGGAGATGAGGAAGCTTAGGGGACCAAATAGCAGCCTTCCAAAGCCTGTGAGAAGATTGCTGGGAAATCAGAGCCAGACTCTTTCCTGGGTTGCACAGTGAGAGAGCTAAAAAGCATTGGTTATAAAGTGAAGCAGGGATGATTCCAACTGGATGTTTGGAAAACTATTTCGCTATGAAGTTAATTCAACATGGGAACAAGGGGTGGGGGCCAGAGCGTGGAGGGATCTGTCTTTGGAAGATTTCAAGACCTTACTGAGCAAAGCTGTAAGCCACCTAGTCTAAGTTTGGTGTTTGACCCTTCTTTGATCAGTCCCTTCCAATGTGCTGGTTTGTTGGGTGAGCTTCTTCCTCACTGCTGTCACTTCAGTACATTAAACCAACTGTTTTAATGTGATCTTTCAGCCTAGATAGAACCAGGTCTGTTCAGGAGATGCAGAGACCACTTGTTTCCAAGTTTTGTGGATGTAGTCTGGGTTGTTGTAGCTGCATTTACTCTCTGACAAGGCTGGAATGTAAAGAAACCCTCATAATCATTCAAGCCTTTGTGACTGAAAGTGTTTTTAAAAATGCTCTTTTCTTTATTTATCTTCAGTATGCTTTCTTGGTGACAGCCTCAGTACAGTTTGCTGGAGGACTCATTGTGTTCTTTGGGCTGCTGACATCACCAAAGGAAGTGGGTAAGTAAAAGAGAGCTGTAGCATTACAGTCTCTTCATGGAAAGCAGATCTGCAGCTTTCCATGTAGTACTGGAATCACAGAATTCTAGAATGCCAGGTTGGAAGAGACCTCAAGGATCATCTGGTCTAACCTTTAGGAGTACTAAATTATTGCTTGTTCTGACAGCACTTATCCTCAGGGCTCTTATAAAACGGTGTTGCTCTTTAGTGTATTTAATGGAGCAAATGCTTTACTCACCAAGGTCACACGAAATGCCACTGTGCATCATGTGTATAGGGTCTGCATATTTTAAAGAGCAAAATAAAACAGCCTGGCTCTAACATACCTGTTAGGATGTGCCTAATTATCAGGCTTTCTTCACCTGGAAAATCATTTTCTTTTTTTAAAGAAATAGCAGGCAAACCGATAGCTGACTATTGCAGGAGGAAACTGTGGCACACCTTAACTGTGCAGTGGGAAGGGAAAGTACCTTTGGTCTGCAGGTCTCCCACAGCCAGGTAGATAGCTCTGAGATTGGATACGGACCTTCTCTGAGAGCACTGTAGGCAAACTGAAGCGTAACAGGAAAACAAAAGAACTTTTGGGCTTTGACAGGGCCGTGGAGGAGGTTTCCCAGGTGCCTGCAAGGGCTATAAAGTTGGTAGCTCTAAAGCTACCATAAAGAGTGCTCGTAAGAGTGCTCAGCAGCCCAGACAGCACAGTGCAGTTCTAGTACTTCCATTCAGCGGAGGCGATAACAGGCAGCAGCTGCCTGAGTAGTTGCTGGCATGCGTAGCCCCTTTGCTCAAGGAAAATGGTACCCAGGAGCCAGGCCCCAGGATCCCAACCACTAAATAAGGGGGGAAATGCACTAATTTGTTGTCTTCCAACTAATGGCCAGACACTCAGAACAGACAAAGCCGACGCCAGGATCAGACAGAATACTTTCAAGAGCACTAGAAGACAAAGGGTAGAAACTGGCGACACTGCAGAACACCATCTAGAAGAGTTTCTAAGCCCAAAGGAGGATGGAGGTATGGGAGAGCAAGGGAATTGCTAGAAGGGAGAATTGCTTAAAAGAAGCGAGCATAGCTTTAGAGCGGGGAGAAGGTGAACAGGCTGTGGTTTGTTTTTCCTGTTGCATATCCCTTGTAAAACTTAGGCCTCCCTGAGCTTGGAGCAGACGAAGATGGCAGTGTGGAGGAAGATGCCAACAGACCTTTAATGAGCAATGATGATGCTGATGACGATGATCGGAATTACTCTATTCAAGCAACTGACACTGACAACCAGCCAAAGGCCATTGGCTTTTTCCAGGCTTGCTGCCTTCCGGGTGTAGTACTGGTGAGGACAGAGATTTTTGACTGAGATCTGACTTTTTGCGTTGTCAGCATTTGTTGACATCATTGTTAATATGTTGACCATGTGTTGCAGTTGTTGATACCTGACTTCTTATGCTCTTAAAATCTTGGGTTGGGATTGTTACTCTTGTGCGCATGGATTATAATACTGTTGGTGTATGTGGTTGCATGTTGCTCTTGCTGTCAGACCCCTGCTTCATTTGGTGCATGTAACGAGCCAGCAATGGGCGGCAGAGATTCTTCCGTTTTTGCTGCTGAATTTAGAAGGGAGGCCATGAGCAAAGGTGGATGTAGGATGCTCTGTTGCTAAGGTAGCTATGCTGCCCTGGGGCATGGGATTCTCTCTGCTAGCTGAGCATCACACAGAACTCTGTGGCACTGATGTTGGGGTTTTTTGTTGCTGCCTTAAAGCAGCAAGCTGGCCTGAAAAGCCTTAATCAGCATGATGTAACGTGGCAAAGTAGGCGTTTGGTTTTTTTTTTTTTAATAAATAACTGGAAACAAAGCCTACTGATGCAGTTTCCACATATCCTCATCCTGTTGTGTGGAGAGCTTGTACTTCTGCGTCAGCAGTATTGCCCAATTCATGGATTTGGTTCAGCTGAAAAATTAACGTCTCATTAAAAAAAATGTTAACTTTGTGTGTCAGTGGGCTGTGTGCCCCTGAATCAGTACAAGAAAAGGGGCAGGGTGGCTGGCTCAGTAGTAAGGTGTGAGCTGTCTTGATCATGAAGCAGAACTACTGAATGGAGAGTGTTGTCAGATACCCTTAATGAGCAATGCATTTGGTAGTTGTGATTAAGGCAGCACAACATCTAGAAGGAATGGGTGAATTGTCAGTGTTTAGAGTGCTGGACTACCACATTTTTGCTGTTAAGACCTTGGTTGAGAGGTGGCAAAAGAAAGCATACCCATCTTGAGCTCTTTCCTAATACAGCTAAATGCTGTGTAAACTATAGTTTGGTTTTGGTGGTGCTAAAAATGGGCTGAGGTAGAAAGAACCTTTAGGCAAAATTTCTTGGTGGTGGAGGCTGCCTCAGCTGCTGTGTGACTTTTTTTCATCGGCCAGAACATAGGGGTTATTATACAACTGGTGTTGCTGTTTCTGTACTTGGGATTTTGAGGCCGTGTTCTGTGCATTAACCCAGCAATGTGAACACCTCTGAATCTGTGAGTACTATCTGATGGCAGATCGGTGCCCTGCCAAGCCAGGACACTGTCAGATCGGTGAGAGACCGAATACCAAGAGCACTTCCAAAATCTTGTCAAGATTCTGCAAAAACTTTATTTGACATATTTTTTCTGTAGTTCCTCTGTCCTCCTGCTGAGTGATGTGCTGGGAGAGTTTTAGTACAGACAGCTGCCCCTTGAGCCTCTAGAAATTAAATGTTTAATTTCTCTGACAGTCTGGTAGACAGTTTCTAAGCATGTTGTAATAAATGCTGCCTCGTACAGTACAGTGCACTTTTCACATGTATGGTGGGGATTAGTTTGTGTCCTGTCAGAGTGAAAAATCATTAATAAGCTAAAAAGGGTGTATTTATTAAAATAATATGAATTCAGAAGGTGTGGTTTTGAGCAGTTGAATATATAGAAAAGGTCTGCTTTTTGACATTCAAAGTGTATACATACATTTTTTCACACAGCCCCAAAAGCTGTGATTTTAACAGGTTGGGTTTCCTGCCTTCATTCTTGTTTTCCTCTTTAAGTATGGGTTCCTTGAATTGCCATGTCTGTGTTTATCAGGAGGCCTCACTGAAACAGTGTGCCTCCTCTCTCTGCATGCTGGGCTGGCAATCCCAGAGAGCAAATCTTTGCCACGCACGTGAAAGCTGTAAAGAAGGAGATCTCCTGCTAGCTAAGGACAACTTGAGCCCAGCTGCCAAAAGCAGGAGGTTGTCTCAGCTGTTGGGTTTGGAAGCATATGCTTAGATTTGGCCAAACCTTTCATCTTGTGTCCTGAAATACCTGCCTGGGGATTATGAACAAAGCCTTCTCTTCTGGTGCTGTAAGCAGATGAGCCTTCTGAGCAGCAAAAGATAGCATGGAGGAACTACTTCACATAACTTTTCTCAGCATGATGCACAGATGACTAAATCTGAAGTTTATTTCATGTCACATGGTTGGCTTCCTTCTCTTCAGAAGGTGAATTAAATTTCCTTCATTTTTTGAAGCTGGGTGTCACTTCCTCTCAAGATTACACTGAAGGTATTTTAACCCCTTGCATTCAGTGAAAAGAAAATAGCCTTCTTTTTTATGTATTCCTGGGTTCCCTTTGATGTTCAGTGTTAAGCTTCCATAATGCTGCCTTCTTAGGGGAAATACAAAAGCACTTTCCCTAAAAGCTTTAGCTGGATACTGAGCTTTATGGGAGGAAGCAGAAACGCTTTTTGCATTTCCCAAATGCTAACTGCCTGCTGCTGGCCCTTTCTTTGTTCCAGTACTCTTTGGCTTATGCTTGCTTGAAGCTGGTGAATTACTCGTTCTTCTTCTGGCTGCCCTTCTACCTCAGCAACAATTTTGGATGGAAAGAAGCAGAAGCTGACCAGCTCTCAATCTGGTATGATGTGGGAGGAATCATAGGTGAGTGAGCAAGTGAATAGCATCTTCCTGCAGTTGCCCTGCTAGTGTTTGAAAAGTGACAGGCATCGCATGCAGCTCAGAGCAGTCATGTTCGGTGGGATCTAGCTCTTTATTGAATATATAAAGTCTAGTTATGTATGTGGCTGCTTGGCTGTTTTGTTTGGGTTTCCTCCCCTGCCCTTTTTTTTTTCCACCTGTAAAACACAGAGTACGTGAGCCCCCTAAAGAGTTTATATATCATTTAAAGGGCACTATGATATTCTTGGACACTACCCCCAGCAGGCATTTTTCTTTGGTCACTAGGACCTCTTGAAAAGTACTATGTACAAAATGGTATCCCTGCTTCTTGCTACTTTCTGACAAGTACCCTTGGGGGAGAGTTTAGATTTGGAATTGACTGGGTTCTGTATTGTCCCTTCTGTCCTGTATTTTTAAGAAGCAACTCAACACAGATCTTGGCAAAGCCAGCACAACTGTGTTGTGTTCAGAAATAAAATGTAATTGCACTTGTTCCTGCTGGCTGCAAGATCTGACCCTGTTCCACCAGAATAAAGAACATATTGTATATGTTTAGACTTCCACTCTCCTGTGCTCAGTTTCATGCTTTATTACCTTGTCCAGTTAGCTTTCCTAGAATAGATATCCTTGTTTTGGTCTGTTCAGGGTCAGGTTTTTTACCTCTGTGGATGTTTTGCCTCTGTGGATGTTAGGCTTTTTCAGCATTCCTAGTTTTTACCAACAAAGCAGTTCCTACAGAGGTATCAGTGATATATAAGGTGATTTTAATCTCCTACTAGCATTTGTTGCAATTAGTTGAACCTACCCTACCCAAGTAGATGAGACAGCAGGGAATGAGAGACCTGTGTGCTAAAGCTTTCCCTGTGAAAAAGAGTTGCCTTTTCCTGCTCTTTCTGTAAAGAAACCAGCCACAATGTTAAGCTTGCTTACATCCAGAGTTGTGGTGATGCTAGAGCTGTGATGGTCCTATAGGGGAAGGAAAAGTGGAACACTGGCTAGTTGTGCGCCAGAAAAAAAGAAGTAATAAATTCCTGGGAAAGCAGTATGAGTAGTTTTCCCTGCTTTACCTGTGCCACATAAGTTTACTGTTGTCTCTGTGTCTGGGGCAGTAAGGGCAGGAGACTTAGTTTTCAGGATTTTAGAGAGAATGTGTATTGATGAGAAGGCAGGAGGCCACTGCATTCAATGAAAAGAGTTCTGTTCAAGGTGTCAGCATCCTGAGCCTGACAAAGGTTTCTTTTTTTGCAGGTGGGACTGTCCAGGGCTTGATTTCTGATGTGCTGCAGAAGAGAGCCCCAGTGCTAGCAATCAGCCTGCTCTTTGCTGTCGGCTCTCTTTTTGGTTACAGCCGTGAGTATGCTTTTATTGTGTAGTGAAAGGAGGTTTCTTTTGGTACGTCTTGGAGGAAACCAGAGCACAGCCTGTTCTAATGGTTTTCTGGCTTGAAACTGCTTCTGGATCGGGATGGTGCCTTTTGGTCCTTTTTGCCTGAAGTGTGGTACTGCACAGAAAGTTAATGTCCAGTCAAAAAGAATTGGTCGTTGATGAGTGGTTGGATTTTCCTGTAGTGGTGAGTTCCAGTACTGACCTTCTCCAGTGCCAGTGAGATTTTTTGGTGTTGTCATTGTATCAACACCACACCTGGCAGAGCAGGAAATCCCAGGTGCATCTTTGTTGTAAGAGGAAAGAGAATCTGGGGACGGATCTGTGCTGGAAGATACATAGACAGAGGCAGAAGCTCTTAACGAGTTATACTTCTGTAAGTGGTTAAACTGAAGTTTCTTCCTTTATTATAATAGATACAGATTTTGGTGATTGGTTATTGAAAGGAAAACTAAGAAGGAGGAGACGGGCATCTATGATGATCTTTTAAGGGTAACAGTTTTGTCTTCAGACATGATGTTCTGTGGTACCGGAGTGCTTTAACTCACTGGGATATTATTTCACTTTTCTGCGTCTTCCTCCAAAATGAGGTGGTGATATAGACAGACTTTTATAGAGCATTTTGAGATCTGTGGACAGAAATCACTGCCAGAGCTGGGCATGAAATTAAAATGTGACTTTCGTAAGCTTACTCGGGTAGTCTCAACAAGGTCAACAAGGTATAATCATTAAACAGCAAAGACTGGGTTTGGTGGAGCTTCGTGCTAACTCATTACTTTCAAAAGCATATTAGAAGCAGCGGACTTTCAGGGAGAGTAAAATGTAAGCCCTGTGTCACAGAAAGAGGCATAATACAGGCTGGAACCCAGAGCCAGGCAAATTGGGTATCAGAAAATTTTAATGGCAAAGGTGACTTTTTACTGTAAAGTGCTGTTGGGTAACTTCTAGATCTCTAGTCTCTAAATGCCTTTGCAATAAGACTAATCTCTGTAGAAGTCTCTAATCAAATACAGGTTATTGTCGCTGTGTAGCTAACTGAACAGACAGTTCAAACTGGATGCTTGCATGCTTCGTTCTGATCCCGGATAAGTGGTTTTCTCAAGTTCATTTCTTTTATTTACACTCATCTGGTCTTTCTCTTGCAGGTTCTCCAAACAGCAAACCTATCAATGCTGTGATCATGGCAATTACAGGTATCTTATCAAACACCACTGTTACATTTACTGCTAGTAAACTTATATATACATTGCAGAAAAACCAGTAACACCAGCCTTAGGTGGTGTTAATGCACTTGTGTGTGCTGCCATTTCTGCTGGTTTTGCAGAAAGAGTAAAATCTGGAGTCCAATTTCTGTTACTTCTGAAATACAGCGGTAGGAAAACTGCCTTAGAGAGGTATGGAATGTAGACTATAGAATAATGGCTTGGAATTGAGGGGATCTGCCTTGGCCCAGTATGATGGAAACGTATTTATGCCAAAATACCTAGCAGTAATCTGAGTGGTATCTGAGGAAGTTGATGTACGGCAAAGTCCTGAGCTGCAGCTCAAATTTGAGGGTGTGTGTCAGAACCCCAAATGCCCTGTGTACTGTGAGAGGTCACAAGCTTTGTGTGCTTCCAGGCATGCTGTGCTGTGTTATGGAATCAAGATTAGCCTGCATGAATAGAGCCTTTCTTTTCAAACACTCCTCCTTCAGAACTCTGTCCTGTTGTGGGGTTTTTTGGCCTTCCATCTCCTCCATGAACCCCTGGCAACTGAGGCTGTAGCATGGGGGTATACTACTCCAGAGCAGAAACATGTCTAAATCTGCTTTATGTGGAAGGCTTCTATATGCATGCTGTTCAAAAAATAGCTTTCTGTATGCGCTTTGGTGCGTCCTGACTTCTTGCAGAGTGTACCACAGCTAATAACCTCGTTTTTGCTGTTGGATGAAAATGTGCTTGTTGGCAACCTCTGTGTGTACTCCAGGTCTGCAAGGTGTTCTCTGACCACATGCTTCAGCTGTGAGGGTTCACGTCTACCTACAGTTACTCTGAAATCACTGCCCCTAGGCTTAATCCTTTTCCTGAGCTTTGGATGGTAGGAAGTCTGTGCTTTGAAGATGTTCTATTGAGACTTTACCTGCACACTTGTTTTGTACCAAGGCTCTTTTCTTGGCACTTTCAGGATTTTTCATCGGAGGCCCTTCCAACATGATCAGTTCTGCAATTTCTGCTGACCTGGGGCGCCAGGATCTGGTGAAAGGCAGCAGCGAGGCTCTGGCAACAGTCACAGGAATTGTGGATGGAACAGGCAGTATTGGTGCTGCAGTGGGCCAGGTGAGGCTACCAAAGGACAATAGAGTCTGGGAAAGGAGGCAAAGAGTCTGTTGTAGTTGGAGAAGTTAGCATGGAGAGAGAGAAAGACAGGGTTGGTTTAAAAAAACAGAATTATTTAAGAAACAACCAAGGGAACATGCCTGTTTCAAGCTTGCATGAAAACCACTTTTAGTTGAGAACTAAACTAAGTATTTATAGTGCTAATGTTATGGCAGTTTCATAATTCAAATGAATTTTAGAGACTTCCATATCCTGAACTCCAAAAAGCAAGTAAAGGTCAGCTTCACAAAGAGTGACAATAAAATATTTTGGAGTTTGTTTGGGATTTTCAAACAAACAGGCCAGGTTGGACAGAGCCTTGGATGTCATGGTCTAGTGTGAGGTGTCCTTGCCCATGGCAGGGGGGTTTGGAATTATATGATCTTAAGGTCCTTTCTAACCCAAACCATTCTGTGGTTCTGTGATTTTTTTTTTTTTTTTTTTTTTTTTTTTTTTTTGTCAAAGGAAACAGCAAAACATTTGGTTATAGAAAAGTTTACCTGTATAACCGAGTAAAATGCAAATACCTATTATGAATGTTACAGTGTTTATGACAGAATTTAAAGTCCGCTCTTATTTGCGGTTCCCTTTTTTTATGTATGAATGTCTTTTACACCTTGTAAATCCAGCACCACTTGCTTCAATAGTCCTTACAGTATGCTGCCAGAGGTCTGAAGACTAGACTGTTACAGAAAAGAAAGCTGACAGTGTGCCCACTGGGGACATTCCTTCTTCTCAAACACAAGTGTTAACTATGTGGAAGAGCACAGTGGTGCTCTGGGGAGGGGAGGATTTTGTAGAAAGATTGGAGCCAGTTCTATTCCACGCATCCTCTAGTGCTGGTAAAATACCAAGGATGCAGACGAGGCGTACGAGTTTATTTTCTGGAAAGGGAGTTGGGTTTATAGGTGCCACTGATTGCCTGGTAAATGCAGTCATTCAGTCTTATTTCATAGGAAAGATGCTGAGCTCCATTAAACGTGGAAAATTACAGTGCTTTGTGGACATCTTAAAGTGCACTGTTATCCTCAGTGTTCTTTTTACATTGTCTGCAGTGTTTGTCTTCCCCCACACATACCATTCAAACTCATGTCATCATAAAAATTGGGTCTTTAGTTCTGAAAAATTCTGCCTTCCTCCCATTATAGCATTGCATTTATTTCCCCAGAGACAACCATGATGTCACTCTGGGGGTGTGTGAATAACAGCAAATCCACAGTGAACATGTTAGAAATTCAGATCCTGTTTTGTGCTAATACACCCAGTAGTGAAGAAGGGTGGCCCTTGTACAGCATCGGAATATAAATCTGCTAATAGGAAATACATTTTCTTTTTGTAGCCTGTATAGTCCTACTGAAGTAGAATGAAGTTCAGAACAGACTGTAGTCTCAAGTGTCTTCCTTATGATTGAAGGGTTAACTAGGCAGTGGTTGCACAGCACTTGAAAATGTGTCCTGTGTAATTTATAAGCCATTCTAGAGCTTTTAGTTCTGAGAGTACTTACATCCACTTATGTCCCAGTGTTCTGTGCAAAAACCTGGTATTCAGTGGAGTCAATTTGTCACCCTTTGAAACTGTAGTTCAGTTCTGTCTTTATGTTGCTATGAGTTACTGTATAGCTTCGGGATGAAGCTTTGCTGACTGTGGGTTTTGTACAAGAAGGGCTGCTGTCTTGAGTCATCTCTTCTGACAGGAAAAGATCAGCCGGAAGGTTTTGTGATGAGCTCCGTGTGGAGTGTTAACAGCCCACAAATTCTAGAAAATGAAAGAGCAATGCCTGAAAGTCATCCTTCCCAGTTTGAATAATTCTTTTTTCCTTTTTCCATTTAGTACTTAGTGTCTTTGATCCAGGAGAACCTGGGATGGATGTGGGTTTTCTATTTCTTTATTCTAATGGTAAGAGATCACCTTTTTTAACGTTTCTTTGTCAAAGTTCAATTTGCAACAGAAAGTTTGTGTGAGAACCTGAACATCATGACTTTGGCATTCAGTCTGTTTCTGCAGCACCTGCAAACTGATGCCATTCTCAAAGTGGTCTACCGTGTGCCTTTGCCTCAGGGTGTCTAAATCAACTGGGTTCATGTTGCCCAACAGGAATCAAGATTGTGGCAGAGACACAAAAATAAGTTGCCTAAAAATACCTGTCTGCATTTCCTAAAGCTAACACAACCTGACTGCCTTCCAAGGAAGGACTTGCCTCCTTCATTTCCCTCATACATAGTTCCTAGCTTTTTCAGAAAGCTGAAGTTGAGGTGCTTGTTAGCCCTGGAAGATTAGTGGAAGGAGTGGTGAGGATCTTGAAACTGAAATGAAAATGCCTTGCTCTGGTATGTCACTGGGGGAGAAGACCCTTCAGGCCCTGATCTCCTCAGCATTGCCACAGTGGTGGATGCTCTACAATTCACCTTTCTTCCCTGCTGGAAGTGCCAGGAATTCTTGCATCTGTGCTGACAAGGGTAAAGGCTACTTTGGTAACCAGCAGAGGTGGCCAGGAGGAAGACCACTGAGGCAGGGAAGAGCTCATCTTCTTTATGAAAAGAAGATCATGGCAGCTGAAATCATATGAGCTTTCCTGCAAACTCAGTCCTCCCATCCAGTGGGCCACTTTGTCGTAGCTTCTCTTAGCCTGTATCTTTCTGGGGAGGCCTGGAATGCACATTGGAGGGCAGGATGGCTGCAGCTATGGCTGCTCTGTGCTAATTGTCCTTGATATACTTCTTTTTACAGACGAGTTCAACAATCCTGTTCATTTCACCATTAATAGTGAGGGAGATGAGATTGCTCCTGCATGAACGGCACCTGCGAGTGCTAGCGGAGTGACATCTGCTCGCCTCCAGAAGGACTGCTGTATGGACCTGACAGCTGGAACACTAATCAGAACCCTGGGAGACTTGTTTGTTACATCCTCCAGGTTTGGACTAATTCAGAACTGTCCTGCAAGACTTGATGGTCCTGCCTTTGGCAAGCTCAGTAGTGGAGTACCAAATACGCATCCTGAGACCACACACATGGAGCTGCAGCCCTGGTGGATTGTCCAGGATTGCCAAGACTGGTGGATTGTCCCAGCCTGCCAGACTCTGCCATGTCAGCAGTCACACCAGGGTCTTCTTTTGGGTGGTCTCACTGCTATACCCTTATTTATTTCTGGACATCCTGACCAAAGGTCAGCTCTTTAAGACTGACAGTGGAGAGGTGGTCTTGCAATGAATTTTGATGCTCTGTTGTGCTGGTGAAATCACACTGTGCATTTCATGGGTAGTCTAAATTTATGATTGCTTTAGCTTTTAGAAAGGTCAAAAATAATGATCTGCAATCGGCACTGTCCAGTTGTATAAAATGTGCTGTTGCTAAATCTGTGCACAGACAGACCTCTGCTATCCCTAGCTACTAACTGTCACATGTTCCAGTAGATTGACATGGAAAAGTTAACCTCCATGTTGGTTTTTAGCATTTTTTAACAATAGTAATGATATTACTAATCTCTGGGAAATGAGATTTCAGCTTTTAACTATTTAAGCAGACAAATAGTGTGCAATACTTTACTATGATCTCTGACAAAAAGCCTTAATAGATCCTTTGTGTCTAAAGGATCCTTGAATGGCTTTGGGGATCAGTAATGGGACACAAATACTTTCACTACTGCTTTGTTATTTGAACTCTGATCAATACTGACCAAAATGAGACCCGCTGAAGGAAGCTGGTGTCACTGATTTCATACTTGTTGGGCAATTGCTCATCTGCAGCAAAGGAGAACCAGAAGGGAATTAAAGGAATTTAAGGGACCTGGCTGCTCTCAGACAAGGGCTTCCAGATAGGGACTGAGAATAGTAATAGTGAGCAATAGTGCTGCTGTCTTTCCCCCATGCTCCTCTGCCTAGGGTTTTAAAGCTTGAATTGTATCTTGAAGAGAAAGGTTAGATGCAAGTCAGCACTAAAACCATCTGACTGCAGTCAGTATGGTGGTATCTGAGTATTATGCAGTACTGCAGTAAGCAGGGTGACCATGGACACCTCTGACATTTGCTGGTGATGTTAATGGGAGCATTGAGCAACCTCTCAAGAGATCCTTTTCTGCTTCTGCCTTGGGATGTTTCATTGGAATAGGCACGTGTTACCCAGCAGAACATCTGATCAAACACTCAGTGTAACTAGTCAACAATGCCTGGATGGGGCAGGGGGCAGGAAAATTCTTGGAGCTGAAACTTTTTAAATGGGAAAAGATGCCTTTTCAAAATGTACAGTGATTTTATTTTATTGTTTTTTAAAGTCATGAATGTCAATCTTTAATCACATGTTGATTGTAACAAGTGGAACATTATTAGTGCCTTAAGGTTTTAATGTATTGAACGGTTGCTTAGTGACTTCTGCTTCTGCAGTGAGGGCTCTGTGCACAGCTTTTCTTACTATGAAACTCAGTTGCCCCATTTTATACTTTTATTTTGAGAGTCTCGTTCTTGGTGGAGGTGATTCCTGCATTTTTTGCTAGCCTTCCAAAAAAAACAGTGCTTGGGAAAACAATGCCATTAAGCTGATGAGGGACCTGAATCCTGTTCTTGTCTCTTCTCATTCCCATTGCAATTTTTGCCTGTATAATTAGAGCAGGAGACTGAGAATCTATCATCCTGTTCTCAGAATTATGCCGTGGGGTTAGTGTTCACATCCCAAGCTACTCATTAGCCCCTGTACAAATAGAATCAGAACTCCCTGAAACTTAGTTCTAAAATTGATGGCGGCACCGTTTGCCCCAGCCCCAGTGTCTGAGAATCCGCGGTTTCGAATTCCAACCTGGATGAGCTCTTTGCCTGCCGTCTGGGCACGAGATAAGCTTCTGATGAAAGGTGGTGTGGGAAAGAGATGTTGCCAGGGTCTGGGGGAGGAGAGGTTGGCCCCTGTAACAAATGGTTTCCTGTAAACAGTTCTGTCCCCTCTTGAGAAGTGTCAGATGTGTTGTGAGTGTTGCAAGCACAGGCTGCCCAGCAGCTCGTGGTGGTGCTTTGAGGCCACCCTCAATTACTGAGGCATGCCTGTGACTGCAGGATTTTGTTGTTATTGTTGCTGCTTTTGTCCTGGGATATTGGTTCTGTGTATTTCCTCAAGGTGCTTGGATGTGAAGGGTTTTCAATCTGACCATGTCCGAACTGATCTCACATGAATAAACTTACTCTGACTTGATCTGGGCTAATTCTCCCGTGTGCTTTATTCCACTCTTCTCAATGTGTTTCTTCTTGTGTGCTTCTCTCCTCCTCCTCGTTATAGGCCTAGCTCTGACAGCTGCTTCTTGCTCAGCTGCTGTGAAGACCTGAGCCCTGACTCATGCTGAAACCAAACCCTCATCCCAACCTAAAAGTGTTCCCGCACAAGGCGGTTTAGTTTTCTTCCCAAGAAGCTTTGTGAAGAGTCCCCTGACAGAGTTGCCCATAATGGTATAATAGCAGTCTTAAATAGAAAAGGCAGAGCATATACTTGGGTTTATTTATTTGTCAATCTGCATGTAGCAGTCAGGTGTTCTTCCTTTGGAATGAAACATGCTATGTGGCTGCTGGCCCTGCTGTGCCTTCTCTCCTGTGGGTTGTTTCTTTAAATGTAAATCCACACCTACGCTTAGCTGTGTTTAAATGGGCACAGTGGGGAACTTTGTAATTGTGTTTGTGTTTTATAGGTTGCTGTAAATTCGGAGTTGAGCACAATACCGGGTTGCTGGAGAAGGCCCCATGCCTGCATGTTCTGGTCCCTCAATTCCAAATAGTTTAGTGGTGCTATGATGCTATTTCTCAAGAAAAGCAAGGGCATGTAGTGACAGGACAAGGAGGAAGGGTTTTAAACTGAAAAAGGGTAAATTTAGATTAAACATTACCTAGAAGTTATTCCCTGAGAGGTTGGTGAGGCCCTGGCACAGGTTGCTCAGAGATGCTGTGGCTGCCCCATCCCTGGCGGTGTTCAAGGCCAGGTTGGACACAGGGGCTTGGAGCAACCTGCTCTAGTGGAAGGTGTCCCTGTCCATGGCAAGGGGGGTTGGAACTGCCTGAGCTTTAAGGTCCCTTCCAATCTAAACCATTCTATGACTGATTTTTTTTTTTTTTTTACATGTTTTCTGCTGCTTCCTCTCTACTTATAAAGAACTTTCCAGCCTACTCTGGAAGTACTCTAAGGAGCAGAGCTTTCCTTGAGTACCTGTTTGAAAATGCTGATAGTAGCAGCCCCCATCACCACTGCTGTGACTGCGACCTCCAGAGCTCAGTGCAGGCAGGTGGAAGTGTAGGAATTACTCCAGAGTGCAAAGGAAGTGTTCAAGAACAGATCTCTGGGTGCTTGCCTCTTGCCCAGGATGTGACAAACTGCCTGACCAAATTGGTTATGAAAGCAAAGGTGTGCCCTACAGTGCTTTTCTGTTGAGAAAAGTCCTTGCAATAGATGCCCTTCGAGCAATGCTACTGTGTCCTGGTTTTCTCGGATGTCTGTAATGCAATGGTATGGAAGTCTGCCTGGTGGCAGTGTCTCAGTACTCTCAAAAGGGGAAGAATTGGGCTGCTGTTCCAAGTGCTGTCCTGAGACAAAAGGAGAAGGTATCTGTTTTGAGATAGTCCCACAGATCTCACCAGTAAAAGCACTATCTGTTCAGGGGTGCCTCAGACACACCGCTGTTTGGTCACCCTCATGTAATCTTGTCCCCTCTCCATCTGTGGCCAGTGTGCTTTGCCAAACCTGTTTGCAGTTGCTCTCCCCTTCTTTTTAAAGTTCTTTTCTAACTGAAAGTGCCTACAGGGATGTTTTGGGTTCTTGTATTGCAAAAGTTTTCTAAGGCACAGCGTGCCCACCTTACTCCATCTTTGTCAAGCCTTATCTAATCCTTTAGTAAACAGCCTACCGTTCTCCAAGGCTGTAAATACAAGCTTTTAGACCATTTTGTGTGGCTGGATTGTGTGTGTGTGTGTGTTTTGTACAGGCCCATGAAGACATCTTGGTTCTATTAAAGCCTTTCCTGAATGAGAGTCATTTAGATGAATATGCATGGTAACGCAAAGAAGAATTCAGGTGATTGCTGTGGATGTTCCCTTTGTTTCTCCTGTGTTTTTGATGATGTCTGCATACGTCTTGATCCCAGAAGATTCTGCTGGAATGTCTCCTTTGACCACCTCTGCAACAGTGTGCAGGGGTCTGTGGAAACAAATGCAGTGGGCAAATCAGAACGTACTCCTCGAGCACTGGAGCAGGTAGCAAGCTTTGTGGCCCTCTTGTTAGATTTAAGGTAACTGATAGGAGAAGGAAGACGTCTGCTGAGATCACAAAAGCCCAGGTGAACTATTTGAGGACAATCTATCATCTTGTTTCGGAATAGCTGTTAAAGCAGCAGATGGCAGTCAATGGACCATTAGGTGAATTGGTGAGATCTTTGTCCACTGGTGTTCCTGCTCAGTTGTGAAGGACAAGAAATCCTTCCTCCTCCATCTCTTGTCCTCGTGGGCCGCATCAGTAACGATGTAATCCAGAGTGTGCCAGCGGAATGATACCAGATAAGGATGAGATTACCTAGACGTGCTATTTAAATCTTCTGTCCTTGTAATGTGGTAAGTGAAGTACTGGGGATTCAGGATGGGTTGATTTCTCTGGCCTCCTGGATTCTGACACCAGCTCAGAGAACCTGGAGACCGACATCCTCGCTCTTCCTCCCATTTGTCAGGTTGGGACCAGTTTCTTGAAACTCACTCCTCTGCTCTGGAGCGTGTGGCAGAGAAAACCATTGTTGGGCTGACAAAAGCTGGCACTTGCCTGCAGTGAGTGCCAAGGATGATGAAGCAATTGGGTAATAGCTGACTGTGCTATTCAGCCGGAAGCGTGGGAGTATCCGAGAGGCAGTTTCACTGGACTGGCTCAGCTACTCATTCACCTCTTCCTCAGCATCCTTGCCCTCTGCTGTAACTCTTGCATCCTTCTGGGAATATTAATGTTTCATTTCTTCCAGTCAGACGCAGGTTCATCCCAGGACTGTTTATCAAGGCATGGCAACAAGTAGGACAAATGGCAAAAGGCGGCTCCTTTGCCTGCTGTTGAATGCAGAGGAGCTGTTATGTGAGGAGAGGCACAAAATGGGAGCCCTGTTGCAATAGCAGGCATGCCTCGGCCTTGTGCCAGCACAAGTGACTTCTGAATTAGTGCACACCTCTGAAACACCAGGTGAGCACGTGTGCAGGGGTTGTAGAGTCTCTGCTGGAGGTGGCTTTTTGCTGCTTAGCTTCATTTCTGTGTACATCTGCAATGCTGTTTGGAACTACTGGAGCTCCCAGGCCTGTTTTAAGCACTGTCTTAGCCCTGTGTGCTCAGGCAGTGGCAGGGCTGGTTTGCCTGAGAGAGTCATAGAATGGTTTGGGTTGGAAGGGACATTAAACACCACCTAGTTCCAACCCCCCGCCAAGGCAGGGCCACTCAGAGCAGGTTACACAGGAATGCATCCAGGTGGGTTTTGAATGTCTCCAGAGAAGGAGACTGCACAACCCCCCTTGGCAGCCTGTTCCAGTGCTCTGCCGCCCTCAACATAAAGAAGTTCTTCCTCATGTTGAGGTGAAACTTCTTGTGTTTTAGTTTATGGCCATTGCTCCTCGTTCTGTCACTGGGCACCACTGAAAATAGTCTGGCACCACCCTCCTGGCATCCGCCTTTGAGATACTGATATTAATGAGATCCCCTCTCAGTCTCTTCTCTAGACTAAACAGGCCCAGGCTCCTTCAGTCTCTCCTGATAAGAGAAATGCTCCAGACCCTTGATCATCCTTGTGGCCTTCAGTGGACTCTCTCCAGTAGCTCCTTGTCTTTCCTGTACTGAGGAGCCCAGAACTGGACACAGTACTCCAGGCATGGCCTCACCAGGGTCGAGTAGACCTGCTGGCCACACTCCTCACTCCTCTGCCCCCAGTCCATTTTCTTTGGTGCAGGCTTTGTGGTAGCTTGTCTCCAGGACTAGAAAAGGAGCCAGTATTTTCCGTGCTGACAAAGTGAGCATTGTAATGCAGTTGCAGAGTGGGTGGATATGATTGCCGACAGACGTACTCCTTCTGCTAGGGTGTGGATTTAAAGCTCAAGGTGACTTTGTTCCTGCATAAATTCACTTACTTTCCCCAGGGAACTGAAGGGGCAGGGTTGGCAGGGGAGAAGTATGATAAATGGAAGTGTCAGAAGGAAACGCATTCACATAGCACGCACTACCAAAGCAGAAACGTGTGCTCTGTTGACGAGCTTCCAGTGTAGCGTAAGGTAGCTTTCCATGGAGTAAAAAAAACCTGGGTGATGTTTAGCTGAGAAGTTGAGCGTGGCTCTCTGTGGGCTGCTATCCCAGTGTAATTGCCTGGGTAAGTGGATTAGTGAGCAGCAGCGTGACTTGTTCAGGGTTAGGCAGGCTCGGGGGGGAGCGAGGAGCGCACTGTTTCTCCCAGGAGGATGAGGTACAGGCAGCGTTTGCTATGGGAAACTGCGTTGCTCTCTACCAGTCAGACCTGTTTGACACCAAAAGCTGTGGCTGACGGTTGGGCTGTCATCGTGTGGGCTTGCTAGGAAGGGTCCCATGGAAACAGTTCCTTTCAGAGCTATTGCTTGTCTGTATCTGACGTGAGGGAGGTATGGTGACAGCAAATCACATCTTGGGACACTTCGTTGCTGCCTTTGTTGCCATGGGAATCGGTGTCTTCCGCAGCTTTGTCTTCTGTGAAAAGAGAGAAGTATTGTTACCTCCCCTGGCTCACCCACCAAAACGGGACAAGGGAGAGGGGGGCTGTGGTCAGCCTGGAGCCAACCTTTGTTCGTGTCACAGACAGGGCCACAAGGTTGCTTGTCTTAAAATCTCGTCTGGCCACGCATATCCCTCTGTGGTGGTTACAACGTGCAGGTTACAATGCAGAGCACAGAGCAGTGAGGCACATTGGCCTCAGTAGCCCTGCTCCCCTCAGGCTGGGTGCCAGGCATGGAGCTGTCTCACCTTGCTGGAGCAGCAGTGCAGGGACCTGCCCTTGCACCCGCTTCACAGCTAGCTAGAAGAATCTGGGTCATGCAGACATCTGACATGTCAAAACATGTCATCGTTTCAAAAGGCTGTCATGGCCCAAGGGTTCAAATGCCCGTCCAGAGGGGCTCAGGCAGGGTCCCCTGCCCTTGGTGGGCTGCACAAAGGCAGAGGTGCACCACATTCCTGGGGAGACATGCTTTGTTTCATCTCCTCGCCAGGTGACTGAGCAGCCCCTGGCAGGGATGTAGGAGCTGGTCCTTCACGGCCAGGAGGCACAGGCACTGTGGAGCCTCTGAAGGGAGCCCAGCTGGGATCCTGACCCAGGATCTGCGTCTCCCCGTGCTTCAGCTCATAACAAACTGTTTTGAACGTGGTAGGGAAAGAAGGGAAACTGTTGAAAAAGAGAGCCGTGACTCTTAGGGGAAACAGGGCAGTACCTAAATTTTCTGTGCCATACAAGGAGCCAGAGCTTTCGCTCTGAATGTATCCTGAGGTGATACAAGAAATCAGCTCAATTCGGAGAGCTCCCCATGTTTGTACCTCACTCGTGTTTGTTCCTTCCTCCCAGCCCTCAATTGTCTCATTTCCTCTGATCGTAACTGATCTCTCTTTTAGTTACGCTTCTCAAGTGGATTCCAATACCGAATGCAAAGATACCTATCTGCCCAAACCTCCTACGAAATAAAGAAGTGGTGTTATTTCCACAGTAGCAATGAGGAACTGAGTCAGAGGGAGGCAAAATTACACATCCGAGGTTACCCAAGAGGGCCGGGTGCTGCTGGGAACCAAATCTGGCAGTTCCTCTTCCCACTGCCAGAGCCCTCGTCCTCCATGGCACAGGATGTGGGGCATTGCCCTGCTCTGCCCCTGGCCTTTCACTTCGGCATGGGCCCTTGGACTCTGAAACAAGCGATAAATGCCCTCAGCCTTTTTCAGTGGGAAAGAATGATTCATCTGAGCCTTAAACTTCTGGCAGTGGAACTGAAAGTAGAATTTGAACCGGTCTGCAATTACCGGCAATAACGCTGCAATTACAATGTAGCGCTTTTGCTCGGACTGTGGTGTTTGTGGTGCCACCTTCTCCTGGGGAAGGGATGCCTCCAATTGACTAAAGGTTTATATTTGTACCAAAGTTGACAAAGCTTTTGTAGATAAAAATGCGACATGCTTTCAAACTGTGCTGCTTCATGCCATAGAAAGAGTCTTCTTGATGTTCAGCCATTCAAACTAGACGTGGTTAAATGTAGCAATATGAGAAACATGGAAGTCCAGAGCAGCAGGAAAACATGTGCCATAGCAGTCCAACCTAGGATAGAAATAAAACATACCATTCTTTCTCAAAAATGTGGGCAAGTGCTGTGTTTTTAAGTATGTATATATAAAAAGTAATAAGTTGTTTTAGATGAGTCATTAAAAACTGCAGGAAGTTTCATTTTCTCATCTGAGATGTGTTTCTGTGTTTACCCTTTTGAATATGTATGAGTGTATACACATGTATAAATACATGGAATGCTCATATTGTTGTAGCTCAAACAGTTTTTCCATATTCTCCTTTTTCAAGTGGTAGTGTTGAGTCTTCAAGGAGATTCATCACAAAATCCCCTTTAACTCATGCACTGCTCATTTAACAAGAAGGGGCTTCAATGACAGCTTGAAGCTGTTTTCATTGACCTTTGTCTGTGAAAGGGCCGCCTTGGAAATTGTCAGGAATGTTGAAATAAAATGATGGGATAAAACCAACAAATAACAGAGGGTGGGCAACTAATAATGAGTCACCACGAAATGCCATCAATGGGATATGCTGAGCTTCGGCTCGGCTTGGTCTGGCTGCCTATGCATCATTGCTGAGTTCTTCGAAATGTGGCACTGCAACCGGGTGCTGCAGTCAGCTAACCACAGAGAAATGGTACAACTTCAAAGCTCTGGGAATAACAAAAGCCATGTCTGCCACTCTCTGCTTACTCACCCTCAGCACAAGCTGGTATTAAAGCAGCAGAGAGCGATTTAGGCTCACAAACAAAATGACTTGCAGGCTGTGATGTGTTAGAAATTAGTCATGTTTCAGTCTGGGCTTCTGATTTTGCTCAGCAGCCGCCTGCAGCGCCTTGGCTTCTGCTTGCTGCCCTGGAAGCTTGGCGAGACTGGAGAAGCAGGAAGTGATGGGGGTACAAAAGCTCCTCCAGAATGGAAAACTGAGCACTCCAAGCTGCCCCACCACAAGCAGGGAGCACATAGTCCAGTGATGGCAGGGAGCTCTCCGTACCAACATGGCCATGCCATAGCCTCTGGTCTATGCAGGGATTTGCATGGTGACCTGCTGCTGAGGGCTGAGATTCTCCAGCAGGCAGGAGGATGGAGGTCGGGAAGCCCATCAGACAGACATGGTGTTTGAAGCACAAAGGGATGCTTTATTGGCCTGAGGGGGGGTTCTCATTCAGTGGCTTCCCTGGCGTGGACACCTCCGCAGGGTCTTCTGTCCTTTGCCAGAAGAAAGAAGCAAAAAGTAGCCCCATTGTTCTCTGACTTCAAACCAGCTTCCCCTCCCCAAAACTGTGGGGCCGGTGGGGGGCTGCTCTGGTGCTGTGTTTCTTTCATGAGTCTGGGGTGGTTTAGCCTGGTTTTCAAACACCTTCCTCCAGCCTTTGCCTTATTGTACAGCCATATACTTCAGCTGGCAGCAGTAAACCAGCAGTTAAAACCCAATCCCTTTCTGGCAGGCTCTGTGAGCCCCCTGTCCTCCTCCTCATTGCTGTGGGGCTCAGCCCTGCCACGCTGCTTTTGGGAATGTGCGTACATACGTATATGCTTTTGGGAATGTGCGTACATACATGCATCCACAACAGCAGCAGGGGTTGCTGGAGGTGGGAGCTTCCTGGGTGCCATGCCTGGAGCCCTGCCCCATGCAGCTTCCTTACCCTAGTGAGCCGCAGACACCATGGGTTAAAGCCAGGTTCTCTCTTCTGCTTGCTCTGTCCTGGGGGCCCACAAGGGTGGCTGGCATTTCCACTTGCTGTCCATGAGAGGGGAGCCCCCCAGGCAGTGGCACGGCAAAGCCCAGCGGGTGCCCACCTGCTTTCTGCTGCTGTGGGAAGAAAACCCGTGTTGGCTCCTGCCTTACAAATAAGAGGTGATGCTGACAAGAGAAGTCATGTCCAGAGAAGCTGTGGTTGCCCCATCCCTGGCAGTGTTCAAGGTCGGGTTGGATGGGGCTTTGAGCAACACAGTCTAGCGGAAGGTGTCCCTGCCCATGGCAGGGTGTTGGAACTGGCTGAGCTTTAAGATCCCTTCCAACCCATACCATTTTGTGATTGTATCATAAATCTGAGCAGAAGGGCAATCATGGTGCAATGGCTGCTTTCAATCCATGAGAGGACATCGAAAAGGTGGGGCCAGCTCGCCACTATGGGGGCCTGCACAGGGACCCCTTCTAAGGGGGTTGCCCATGCTGCTGGCACTGCCCCAGAGACCTGAGTTGAGTTTGGACTGCTTTAATGTTTAACAGGGGCAGGTGCACAGGCAGGAGTCAAAAGAGAAGGGGTTTTACAGCACATGCTGCAGGCACTTTTTGAAATGTTAATATCACATCATCTTGCTTCTAGTTTTGTGAAGCAGCAAAGCCCAACTGGAGCAAAACTCTTCCATTGGAGCTACTGAGAGTGGTACATGTCAGTCTTTTCAGCAGCTAGGAATTAATGCAGAATATTTTATCCTTTTAAAATGCTGGGCAAGCATTAACTAATCCTCTCAACACCCTTCTGGGGTAGGTAAATATTACTCTAGCCCAGGTGCAGCAACTAAAGAGGAAAAGTTATGTGATTTGCTTAAAGCCACAGAGGGAATCAGGTGGGGGTAGAGTTGATGGGGATTGGGGTGGGGTAGATTTTTATAGCTTGTGCCTGTGCTTGGGCTCACTACAGGTGCTGCTTGTCAGCCACTGTTGGTTTATGGGGGGAACGTGGTGATGTCTGCTTAGCGCTACAAGGAGCAGAGCACGACTGCTGATTTACAAACCAGCGATGCTCTGGGGGCTGTCCAGAGCATGGACAAAAGGAAGAGGTTTTGGGGACAGGGTTTTCAGGGAGCACATGGCCCTGCAAAAGCCCTCTTGCTTTGAAGTCAGTAAAGTCTGGGCTGGTCAGCTTCAAGGCAGGACTTAATGCCATGAAAAGCTTGTTGCTTCCGGGCTGAGCTTACTGAGGGTGGGAGGTGCCTCTCAGGGGGCTTAGCCCCAAGCCGCCTGCCTTTAAAGCGGGTGATAAATGTTGTCTGCAGAGCTGGACTTGTTTATCTTTGGGATTTACATTGCAGATACAGTGGCAGGACAGCCCTGTGTTTGTAGACCTGGAGGGAAAGCCGACCTCCTGCCAGCCCAGACTGAGGAGGGGGCTGCTGATACCTGGGCTCAGCCTTGCCCCTTGACATCCTTTGGGTGGCTCTTGGGAAGCCAGCACCAGGTGCCAACTCTTGTCCTCAGGTTGGACAGGCTTTGAGCAACCTGGTCTAGTGGAAGGTGTCCCTGCGCATGGCAGGGGGCTGGAACTGGATGAATTTAAGGTCCCTTCCAACCAAAACCAGCCTGTGATTCTTCTTCATGAGTATGATTTGCACCACACTAACCTTTCCCTGCTCCCATTCCCATAGAGCGTTGGCGCATCTCCTTGCTTGTTTTCTCATCTCTGGCATGGCCAGGGCTTCAGTTCACAGGCAATTAGATAACATTCAATGGAAGTGCTCTCACCTGCAAAGATAAAGGTCACTCACTTATGTATCCCCAAGGTAGTGCTGGGGTCTACCAAGTGTTCACCCAGAAGCTTGTGTCTGTTGCCACTTCAGGGCAGTTGCCATCCATTGGAAAGCCCTTGTTTGCTGTCCCCGATCCTGTTCTGGATCAGGTCCAAGGTAGGGCCATATAGTTGGGGGCTTTCCCCACACAATGGGCTACTGGGGAAGACTCCCGTCTCTGCTGTGTGGTGCCTGGGCTCTTTTAATTAGAGACACATGGTTTATTATTTAGAAGAATATGCTTTCCCAGTCATTTGTTAGGATCTGGTGTATGAGAGTGCTGCAGCTTGTGAGCCTTAAATTAAGCTGTAAGAAGGACATCAAGCACCCCATGAAGGGGGTGCTGCAGTACCCGAGCCTATTGTTCTCACCCTGAATTGCGGGGAAGCTCTTTCCCCACGCCAGCTCTTTTACTTGTTAGCCAACTAATACACATGGCGGTTTGTTTCTGTCTCCATCTGTTCCAACTTCAGTTTATTCACGGCTCTGTAGGTATTGTACACTCTGCTGCCTGGGTTTTGTTGTTTTGGTCCTTTTTTGACGAGAGAGCCTCCCCTTTTCATGGTTCACTTATTCATTTTGTAGGTCTCCAGCTTCCTAGTCAAGTTTTCTCTTTTGTTGTATTAATTGGCCTTAAGTCTATAGTCAGGTGCTGCACGCGTGCTTCCCGTGTACACCTTAACCATCTGCTGTGTTTCATCTCCATGGCACCCAGGCCAAATTCCAGCTCTGGTAATGACATCCTGCCTCCCTGCATTTTCCTTGTGCTTTTAATTGGCTTTAGTTCACTTTCTCCCCACCCCATCCTAATGTGCCCCTCCACTCAATGGCAGGGAGAGGTGGTTTCGGGTGCTGAGGGTTCCAAGATGTCCAGCGGCAAGCAGCTCTCCTGCTACAAGGAGCAGCCACAGCCCAGCCTAATGACTGGAGAGCAAAACAGGGAAAACTTTGCACTGGAAACAAGAAGCACATTTTCAGCACTGAAAGCAGTTGCATGACCTCAGGAGACATGCAGTGAATTTTGCATTTCCCTGAAGCCTTCTGCAGGAGAGAGTAGGTGGCTTTCTGAAATGGTGTCATTGTTTCCTGCCTGTCCTCCTGCCCAAGCAGGTCAGGTGTAGTTCCTGGAGGGGGGCAGAAAACTCCTGACAACATTTACCTCTGGCCTTAACACTCCTTGATATGTTCAGAGCAACACCTGATGTGTCCAAGTGATCCCAGAGTGTATTGAGGCTCCAGGAGTCTCTCTGGCACTTTTGCCTGGGTTATGTGACACTTTAATAGTGCAACAGTTGTTAGCTTTACAACCAGGTTTTGGGAGGATAAGACTGGTGTCTGTGTTTGGGAATTGCCCTCTGCAGCACGCATTTTCCTGGGGGAGACAGTGGGTTCTTACCGCTCTTTTTTTTCCCATTTTTTGGTTTTAAATAATGGGTTATTATTATTGTTGAAGAGATTCTCTCATGCACAAAACTCACTTAAAAGCATGGCCTGAACTTCTTACACACTTTGTCTGGTCCTTGCCAGCCTGGAAGCTTACTCTTTTCTCTGCTAATCCTGTTACTTCCACTGACAGCCCCAGCCATGGGGGTGAGCCGCTCCAGTTGTTGTGCCGAGTCCTGTACCAATGACTATGGATGGCTGGATGGCTGGATGGAAGGAAGGATGGATGAATGGACAAATGGATGGATGGATGGATCGATAGATAAAGGGATAGATGGATGGATGTCCTCCTGCTGTTACTGCTTGCTGCTTATTATCTAATCTCAGTTTTATTGGAACAACTTGTGCAGTTTAATGTCAACAGTCAGACTTCCGCTACCCCAGTGTGGTTAGCTGCTTGTTTATATCGTTTTATGTGGGGCAACCTGTCGGCGGGTTCCCCCACTCGTTATCACCAGGGTGGGAGTTCAAGGCAGGGACCTGGCCCAGGGGCCCCATTGCTGCTTGTGGAGGGGTCTAGGCATTGGGCTTCCCAAAGGCATCTGCGTGTCCTGCTTTCAAGCACTGCCAAACAACAGAAAAGGAGACAATGTCCTTCCCGAGGATGTTGACCTAGAGCCTAAGGAAGGAGCTGCGCTCTTTGTGATCCCCTCTGAGCCTGCCTCCCCTTCTTCCCTTTCTTAGTTGCTCTGCAGGTAACTGTGAGACCTGTTGGAAGCAACTGAAATCATTGCTGTCCCCACCCTCCCCAAGTCCATCATGCTCTTCATGTGGATTGGAGGTTCCCTGGCACTTTCTGAGGCCATGGGGCTTCCACTTTGGATGGCATTCCCCTCCATTTCCTCAGCATCAAGTGGAAGCCAGACTGTTTTTCCCACTGCACAGTGGGATTAAACTGGACAGCAGGATCAGGTGTTCAATAGCAGGCTGGGGCACAAGCCTCAGACTCTGGCCAAGGCCACCACCAGACTCTGGCCAGCTCCGTTATTAGGTGAATTTATCCATGCTCTATTTACTTCTTTTACCTTTCAAACATTCCTGTGTGCAGATTACAGGATGCGCTGGGACTCTCGTTTATTTAAATGTTGGTAAAACGTGTATAAAATGGAGTCCCCTCCATGCCTTTGCACTTGCTGGCATAGGCTACCTGACCAGTAGCACTCTTACAGCTTCCACATCAGTCTGGGCGCACAGCCCAGAGCTGTCAGTACCCACTGAGAAGGTGGGTGACTGCTGAGGATGGCAACAACACCTGCCTTTTAATAAGCCCTTTGTCACAGGTAAAATCTTCCTGGTTGAGTGCAGGACCAGTGGTGGAGGCTGGGCTTTAGGCAGCTGCTCAGAAGTAAGGCAATGGTTGGCATCCCTTTTTGCCTCGATAGGTGTCTCCAGGGCATCAAATCCCTGGTGGTTGTTTCAAGTGCTTTGGAAATGCCAAATGAAGGATTGGGATTATGGGGATATTCAAGGGAGGGTTGCCACATGGAGTTATGTCACCTCCTGGACTTAAATCAACCAGTGGAAGGCACGTCAGGTCTTGTCCTTGAAGAAATCCTCTCACCCTGTTCTGCACAGACCTTCCATTGAAGCAGCAGTAAGTTGCCTGTGCTCCTGTCATCCTAGCAGTGGAGGACAAAGCACTTGTGCCAGTGTCTCTCCTAGCAAATCAGCCTTGAATACATAGGGAGAAAGACCAGTTCTTATCACTGAGCAGCTAGGAATAAAACCACCATCAGTGAAAAACCCTGTAAGCCCCAACCCAAGTCCTTGCAATATTATATACTATATGTCTTTTGAGCTTTAAGAGCTTTGTGAAGATGGTGGCCTGCTTGGCAAGGTGTTAAGCATGCACATATGTGCACGTAGGAAAGCATCTCTCCTGAAGTAGAGTCCAAATGCACAAGATAAGTGGCAAGGGGCAGGCAAGATGAATCCCATTCCTCTGACAGGGAGCAGGCTGACTACAGGATAGGTTTTTTTTTTAGTAGTATTTGGAAGCATGGAGATGTGGAGGTTTCCCTAACAAGTTGCCTGTTGGGATGCTTCATAGCATGTCCTTCGGTGCACCTCTGAATGATTCAGAGTCAGAAACTTTGTTTTGAATTCTCAAGTTTTGGAAATCAAAGACTAAGTGTTCAAGGATATTTAATCACATGGTCTAACCATGGCAGTATCCTTCATTTACTACAAGGCAAGACTTCTAGACCAGTAATGTGTTCAGTCAGATTTGATTGTTTTAAATGTGTGGTTTGGTTTACCGGTGTAGTGGGTCAGTACTTTGCTTGTGTCTATCCCCCCTGTAATTGATTTCTGTACCGATGGAGCAGTTCGCGAATGTTAATGGATTTATTACTGCTCTCGCTCCTGTGAGAAGTGGTTTTTCACATTATGCAAGTAGATGGTGTGGCATAAAAAAGGTAAGTTTTTAACTCAGAGTCAGAGAGAAAAGTGTTGGCATAGCCTTAGCATTGCCTGGGGTGGGCAGCATCCTGTCTCCCCCTTGGGGATGCTTACAGCAGGGAGCAGAGTTCCCCT